ACCCGCATGGTGTGGTGGTGAACGCGTTACTCCCCGGAAAGGATAATAGCGCGTTCGTTCCCCACCATAGACACCTGCGGTCCAGAGTTTTGCAAATATCTCAGCAACGTTATAGTAGTTATATTTCGCAAAAATACCCTGCCGTTAAAAAGAATAGGCAGTAAATAAAAAGGTTAAGATTGTAAAAACAGTTCATTAAAAAACGTGGGAAGTTTTCTATTCCATAGATATACGGTAAATTCCTGACGGCTTAACAAATGTTCTGATGAGAAATTTACGATGGCGGTCTAGAATATATGTGAATGCAGTAAGTAATAATAATAACAACAATAATAATAAAACAAATATCCGAAAACTTGATAGAGGACATGATCCGTGAGCCACACTTGGGCCTCTAACAAGACAATGATTAGATTAGTGTTACCGAACTAACTACTCACCTACTTCACTGAACAGTTCTTCAGTTCGGCACTAAGCAGCAGAAGCATGAGCCGATACTGCAGCAACATGGAAGGATTGGGACACAACAACCGGAACATTCGAGAGACGTAATATGAAGATGAACCGGTATACTCAGCACCAATCCGGTTTTGGTAATTCGGATCTTTGAGGAGTATCACGCCTTCGAAACTAAGGAAAACACGTCTCAAGTTATATACAACACAGTGACGGTCATACCGAAAGATGGATGAGAAGAACACGAGTGGATTCTGTGAGAATCAAAACGATATCAAAGAAGACCACCAATGAAGGGGCAAACGGACACATTAGACGCGCAAACAAGCTATGTTCACATATCGAGTGCTGCAATCAACTTTCACATCTTTAAACCACATCTGAGATCACATTTGGAATTCCGACGTGCAAAACGACGAAGGGAATGGAAAAAGAGCCATGACTCGTGCGACACGTTAAGACGGGTCATCTAAAGAACCTAAATAAATAAACAAATACAAATAAGGTTCCCAAGGCCAATTTTCTATCAATCTTAGCATTGGTTGATAATTCACTAATAAGATTCTCTACCACCAAATCTGATCGCGTACGAAACTCGTGCGTTGGAGTCGCAGAATGGAGCCGGTCGTTGGTTATGATATTAAAAAAAGACACAGAAGACTTAGTGGAGGTGATAACGCATAGTTTCGCAAGATTAGAGCAAGCCGACTTTCTTCACATTCTTTCTGATTATCTTTCCACTAAAACAAATAGGCTACCAAGTTGAGCTCGAAGGAAGAAAGGGTCTCAAGAAAGCCCTCATTAATACTGGAGACTTCAGCGTGAATAAAGCGTGGTGCAATAAAATATATGCCTGTTGCCTCAAAAGATAATAAAAACACTTAGTTTCATTAAAGATAAGTCATATATGCTATGAGACACCAGTGAACATTAAATAACTCACCTAATGCTCCCGAAGTTGTCTAGTTGTTTTGTGAGTTCGTCCACTTTGGCGCGCCACTCGCCAAGTTGAGCCTCCGCATTCTCGCGCATTACAACGGCTTTCTCCTTCTAAACAGAACGGATAGAAAACAATGCGAAATTATTACTAATACCAGTCCGCCCTATCATTTTATAACGATTACTTGTTTTTCTAATTATATTCTCTTACACATATTCTACGGGTTTCAGCAATTTCTTCATTCTCCTCGTTGGGTTGCATAAGTCATCTGGATTTTGCTCATCGGATTCTGCTGGCCAGCTCAGCCACGAATTTCAAACTTTTTCTTTTTCATGAATACCGTCAAATTCCGTTCAATCCTTCTGGCATTTTGGGATGGCAGCCCTGGCAGAGCGCTCCTAGATCTTCACTACTGCGAGTCTTCGGCCTTTAAGGATCGGATGAAAGGTTCATAGAAAAATATGGTACAATTTTCTCACCTAACGAGGAGGAAGGAGACCCTGAATTCTTGGTTGGCCTAGTTCCTCCGTTAATGTCATGTTATTTTTAAAGATATTTGCAGTCAATTTGTTCTCTTCAAGGTCATCTTTAGATTAGCAAAATTATACAGGAAATTCAACTGTATATTTACTTCCTCGTATAATTTCCACAACAAGGTGTTATACGAAGTCAACCGCAATGATGCTGAGATATTTGCAGAACTCCGGAAAGCAGGTGTCTGTGGTGGGGATCGAACACGCTACTATATAATATAATGAGTCGCGGTGGCTTACAGATGGGACGAGTCAATGCTGCTATCCTCCCAGACAAGTCTGGCACCAATTTGCCGACCTCGGAGAAATGGAGGGCTTGGTAAGCCTGGATCGCAGAGATCGATCCTGTGTGAACTCCAGTGCGCTTTTAACTACTACGCTAGACGCGTCCTCCACTTCCTTACATTCATAAGCGTGCACGGCTTCTCGTTTTCCTCTAAGTTCGGCTTCTGCTCGAGGTTCCGTCATCGCCTCTCTTCATTAGAATGTTAAACGATAGCGGTTCAGCATATTTCCCCATAAAACCATGAGATATTCGCACTAAGGTGTTGCCGGCTGTGCGCCAAAGGCACAGTCCGTTGAGGTTTGTTCCTTACAGCAGAAATTCGTTCAGCAGAGCAGCAATTCTCGTGAGCAGTCGACTGACGCATAGAAGGTCGTACACCTCCTATAAATGCTTTCGTTGTCTAAAGAAAAACTAGGCTTTCTTGGTGATTCAGAACATAGATAGTTACTGCCATTTTAAAGCCGAAAGCTCTGATGCTTTCAGAACAAATTTGCTAGGTCAATAATAGATGAAAGTAAGAAAAAGAAACCACAAGATGGAAATGAGAATGCAAAGCGGAAAAATCTTTACTGCATATTGATGGAATGTACCTCGAGAATAACAGATTTCAGTTGTTCAGATAAAGAGGTGACCATCTCCTGCAAACTGGCGTTGATCTCTTCGCTAGTCGAACGAGCGTCCGTCAATGCTGATATCTTTAGAGGAGACTCAAATTTCAAAAACATATTCAAGACCTCGTGATTATTCTCTGCGAGTAGCTCTTCATAAGGCTAATAATTACTCTCTACGGAACTTATTGATTTAAGAGAAAGAAATCAATAACGGAAACAAACTCGGAAATCAATACAGTCCATAGAAATCGGATTACTCTATTAGAGTTATTCGAATTGACTGCAAAAAACCATCAAGACGTATTGATTTTACTAAACAAACTTTTCATTTAAAGTTTCTTCGCCGACCTTTACACGAATTTATCTTCGAGCTTTTTTGCAATTTTAAAAATGATTTACACAGTTGATGTTAGACGGCTATAAAACACTACCGTTTCCTGATCTTTCTTGATTTTTTCTTCTTTCTCAAGGAGTTCTGAGCGCAGATTCTCAATCAACTCCTTATTCATCTGTTCCTTTTCTTTCGTTCCCGTCGATAACCTGAGCAATAATCAACGATTGTCTAATTTTTACATCTACAAATGCAACTTTGAAAAAGCAAAGGCAGACCGTCAGTAAAGCAAAGAGTTTATCTCTAGCAGCTGCCTCGGCTCACGATTGTTTTGGAGGTCTAAAGTTCATTTTTTACTGCTATAAAACTATTGAGTAGCGGCCAGAAGCGTATTACCACCTAATGGTGACCACTAGGAGTAAGGTCGTCCTAAGTGTTACAGAAGCGCTCGTAATTTCACTCCCAACAAGCCTATAATCGAAGAACGAGCTCAACATTTTCACCCAAAATCTTGACCAAGAGTTGATTTCTATGAGGTATCGTCGCTGGCCTAATTTCTAGAAGATACTTAGTTGCAACATTGTAAACCTTTCTCTAATTCAGAAGCGCCAGTACTTGAATAAGCTGACAACCTTCATGCGCACAACACAGCCAATTTGAGACCATAGGTAATGAAAAATTAATTCTTTCCAATCAGTGAAATACCAGTTAGAAGGAAACTGTACCCAGCTCTACACCGCTCTCTACATAGACCGTCCGTTCTTCTCTACTTTATCAAGTGATACGCGCAGATGTAGAAATAGCTTAGAACGGTTCGTCATCGCGAAGATGGTCGGTGGTTTTTCTGTGGGGCAAAACATATTTTCCAAAGACTCGAGATAGCCGTGATTACCTTTCCTAACTCAATGCCATCAGTTGCAGGAACACTTGGCACTTTGTGACTAGGTTGTTACTAGGACGGCTTTAGCACTTGATTTATTCCTAGGGAAATTTCTCAGTCGAATGTACATGTCAAACTTATTTACACCTTGGCAGGTTTTCTCATTGAGATGAACCTCCATTGTACATCGTATTCGCAAACATCCCTAGGTGACGATGAGGCGGTAAAGCGTTAAATAGAGGAAAAGGTTGGAAAAAGAAGACAGTTGTTTTACTATTAGGTGATAAACAAAGAATAATCAATAAAGCGCAAAAAAAGCTGCAAATAATAATATTGTGCAATGCTAAATAGTAATAAAAAAGCTCTTGGCGTTGACCAATCTCTGAGGAATATGCCGTGCATTCCACTTCATTGAGCATCGCTGGAGGTGACTTAATGCCAATCCGGGGTTTACAATGACCCATGGTGGCGTATCGATGCATCGAGCCAGTGCTGTTATTTTCCCAGACAAGTGTGGTACCAATTTGCCAACCCCAGAGGGATAAAAGGCTTGGTGAACCTGAGGCGCAGGGATCGATCTCATGTATGTTGCTGGGCAGCTCTGGCCACTGCGCTACACACGTCTTTTTTTACTAAACAGTAAGTGTAAAAAGGATGCGAATAAGTATCAAAAAGTGAAACAACTACGAACATTTCTAGGCTGTTTAGTAGAGAGAGGCATTCTTCGGTTTTGTTGCGCAAGTCAGCATCCGCAACTGAGTGAGCTTCCTGCTCCATGACCAACGTGAATTCCAACTAAAACAGTGAGTTGGAGTCTACTGAGAGTTGCTGAATTTATCTCGTCTTGATCTGAGATTTAGACACCCGACGTCCACAGAGTGATTAGCTGACATCAACCAGCTTTTAGATGACGAGGCAAAGCCGCCAGCAAGAATGCCATGTTCTCAGTGAGGTATTCATAGAAATAATCCACTATTTACATACGCTAAGTAGCATAGTGAGTTACCCTACCTAAGAAACGATAACTCTTTCCTGCTAAGATACACTAAAATAAACGAAAGCTCACCCTATTTACGCTACCTGGCTTCGTCATTTGTGAAGTGGCTGCGAGAAAACCCTCTACTGATAGCCTTCAAACTCAAAACCTTATCACACATCCGGCAGAATGTAAGAAAGCATAGCGGGCAGCCCGGGTAACTATTACATCCCATACTAGGAAATTGAGGAAGTGGCTAGAATCCTAATTAAATATGTCTAAATGTTACTAGTGACGCTCACATTTCTTATAACGTCGTTCTTCGACTGAAGAGCGGCCTCTGACTGAGCTAACGTGTCCAGAAGTTTCGTTTGAAGTTCACGCGCATTACTTGTGATAACGGCGATCTCCTCTTTTAAGCTACAATGAAAACAGTGTAACAATGTAAGAACTCAAAATGAACTTATTAGGAAACAAAAAATACATCGATATTCATAAGGTCGGATTAGAAGGAAAACTAAGAAGCAAGATAGTTTATGATAGATAGATATGCATTAGCCGATTCCCCATGGTCTTTTGTCGAGTTCAAAATTTAGGATTCAGGCAAACAGCTGCAATCAGAATGGAAAGTTTGGAAGATGGGAGAAGAATTTGTATTGCTTAAACTAAATAAGGGATGTATCTTGCCTGGGATACCTCGACAAGCTACCTATAGATTTTCCCCACACTCTTGCAGTAGAACCATTAACATCTTCTTATCCCTCAAACGAGCTTAATGGGCAGCTGTGGCACAAGACCAGGGATTAACAGAAATGTCTCTAGTCCTCGCTGGGGAAACTCTGGTACGACAATAAACCGTTGGTGCCTCTGCTGTTAGATAACGGTACAGCGTCTCGTGCATAAGATAAATAAGTGGAAAAGGTAAATAAGTGCTCTGAAAGCGAATCTAAGCAAGTTCAAAGGCAATGAAGCGAATTAGAATTTTTTCATGAAGGAAAACACGACATTGTTCGAACTAATGGATTCCGACAGATTCTTAGTATGCGAAACTCTTGTCGAACAAAAACTAAGGTGAAAAACAATTACTTCCTGTCTTACGATATCACTCGTAGTCTAAGTGATTTAAGTGATAAAAGGCAAAAAGACGATGGGGTTCGGGTCGTAGTACTTCATTGGTGGTCTGTGAGTTGTGTCGCTCACACCTGTCCACTTCTTCCTGCCACTTTCTTATTTCGGCCTCTCGTCCTGCACATATCATACAAACACCATTTTCATGTAACTCGATCGAATTCGGCAATTCTATCGCCTCCTAAAATACGACACGGGGAAGAAAACGAAGTGGAAAACTATTTAGAATTCTTCTAGGAGGATTACTTTTCCATTGTTCATTGTAAACTCTGCGATATTAATGAGAAAAAACGGAAGTGGCTATCTACCGTTAACAGAATTCCGCTGAACAAATGGTCATTTGAATAGAAAGATGTAGTAGACTAAAAGAAAACCATAAACAATGTTGAAATAATTGATATGAATGTCCCCATGGTGAAAGGCTTCTACAGTATCTGATAGGATGAAAATTTTCCCCAATTGGCTATAGATGAATAGTTTTACAAACTATTCCAGTGTCCTTTTATTTTTTTCCTGGGAACAAAATAGTTTTTAGAGGTTTTCTTCCTAAAACTAGTGGTTGACACGAGAAGCGCTGAGTTGGAAAGAAATTGAAGGTTCTTTAACCCTAATACTTTTTTCTCAACCTAGATGGCTGATCCTAGGACGGCTATGAAGATTAGGATGATAAGAATAAGTTTTAAACTCAATGAGTAAGAAAACTTTTCGGATCGATTTTTACAGAAATAAGGAAGCAAAGAGTAGAAGTCGAATGCCTGATACCACGATGATTTATGTCACATCTAAAATCTGTTTTCGTCAAGAAGATATGAAAACTTGTATCGACTAAAATATTTTTTCTTTAAGAATCGATGCAGAACATAAATTGCCAGACAATGTTGTTATCGTACGATAAGAAATATCGATTACGCAGCAACATAGCTGAAGACCCCCTTACAATTATCTGCCTCATCGTGGCTGGGAGGTGCTCTTGCGTGTCAGGCTGTGAAGTACAGTGGATGATTCATTCCGGGCAGGATCTCCCAAGCTGAGAAGAAATCAAGCGTTTCCACTAAGACGTCCAGCAAAGAGTAAACCAATGCCAGGATCCACTACCGTCTTGGTATCAAAGTCGCATGGTGGCAAATCTCCCTCTGATCCACAAGGGCGGCGACTGCCTGTGGTGGTGACGACCTGGAGCAGACTTTGGCCTGGCTGACTTCAGGACTCCAGGGAACTACAGGGGCTAAATTAGGAAAACTCCAAAAAGTGGAGATTACGCTGGGGTCCGCAAAACCAGTGAGGACGGGCCGTCCAAGTAGCAGGTAAGCAGGTACCTGAAGAACAATAGACGGAATTTTGAGAGGAGGATTCGCCGGTAGTGCTTCAGATTCTGTCAGAGAATCGCATCATAGTCCAAGAAAACCACGCAGGTCACATGGAACTTTCAGAAAATCGGGGATAAGGGAGGATAAAATGTTAGCAGGGGTAAAATTCGGTTACGCAAAACATCTAAGTTTGATATCATGCACAGCAGTAGTACTGACGCCATTCATCGCGACCACAGTGCTGGTTCGACTTCGGTTTAGGTTTACCAATACCTCCATCCCTCTGGAGTCAACAAATTGCTACCAAACTTGTCTGAGATCACTTCGCTTCCTACAATTGGTGTATTACTGTGATATCCGATTTAATTGGATAAGATCTGTGACATTGAACAACCACGGTAAAATGGATCACCATATTTATTTTACGCTCAAAAAATGGGTTCACAAACCGAGTTTAGTTCATACGGTAGCTAACAGGACCTAATCAGTAAAGAGCGCCAGAGTGTCACCTTCAACAAAAGGGAAAACTGTACCACAAAATTCGGCAAACCAGAAAAAGATGGACTACGGTCTAACTCAGGTGGCATCCAGCTGAGAACCACTTATTTTTTTGCTTCTGAACTTTAGCTTCAATCAAGTAAATATAAAAACAAATATAGTTTCCATGATCGACTTTCTATTAACCTCGGCAATGGAATATGAATGCGTCGTTTCCTTGTTCAGCAATCGGGAGGTTTTTAAACAGCATACATTTACTTCCATAGAAAAACACAATACAATACAACGCTAGCTGACGTTTCGGCAGTATCGCCTTCAGAGCCTGGAAGGCTATACTGATATACAATCTACTAGGCCAAACGCTTCAATAACACTTACAAAAAGACGAAAAAACTCTATGGTAATTACACGATCAACAGCTTCTCAAAAAACTCACCGCTCAACCCTACGGTGAATAGCAGGGAGGAATGGCCAGAGGTCATACGCGACCTGACCCCGTATGTTCGCATCAATTTCTGATGTGGGATGGTACAGTTATCAACCATATGCGACTATAATCAGCTGTTTAAATCTTCCTCATTGGAAGTCACGTAAAAAGCGGTAAGTTTTTCGAGAAGTTGTTGATCATGTAATTACCGAAGAGTTTTCCGTCTTTTTGTAAGAGTTATTGAAGCGTTTGGCCTAGTAGATTGTATATCAGTATACCCTTCCAGGCTCTGAAGAAGGCGATACTGCCGAAACGTCAGCTACTGTTGTATTGTATTGTGTTTTTCTATGGAAGAAACAAATATGTTGCAAATATAAAACACAATTCAGTTCTAACTATTCGTTACTGTAGAAGCATAACGATACCGTGGTTGTGTAACATTATTCAAGGCTAACATTAGATGCCCACAAAGCACTATAACTTCTGAAAACCATGAAGCACCTCAGTTATGCAACGTTTGAATCTGTTACCGTCTCTGAGACACTCCTTGTCTTCAGATCTTAAAAGATGACTTTAGCGTGCTATCTCCAGCACTGAACTATTCTTATCATGAAGTATACTCTTGAACAAAAGAACACAAAGCGCAGGGCCTTATCAGTTATTCAACCTCCCCCCCCCCCCCCNATTTTTTCACCCCCCCCCCCCCCCCCATATGTTTGAAACATCGAAGCACAACAACACTGACACTATGAGAAATAAGAACGATTAAGGTTATGCTTACTGCTTTCTCGATTTTCCTTCAAACTGTTGCATTGCAAAGCACAACGGTTTACTGCTTCATGGTAACCGAAGGGTTTTCCTAGGTGCCGAACTCTGACCAAATACAAGAAATCACCGACTGCATCACCTAATGTGGAAACTGAAAATCCCATTCAGAAGCCCATGAAGTCCATTAAGAGCAAAATCAATCAAATCTTCCGTTCTCACAGGTCGTGAGAACTACAGCACTTCTCTCATCCACTTCAACGTCTTCAAATTCCACCCAGAGCGGTACTTTAGTCGATGGTAGGCTGTGACTTCAGCTCATAACCTTCTCATTTCATCTAGATGCCAAACTCTAGTCAAGTATGACTTTCTTCCTAATTCTGAGATAGTTGTGAAGGCCATTATGGAACGGAGTGAGGCGAAACGGACCTTTGTATTACGGAGGAACGTCTTCTCTACGAATTTCTTTCAGGACACCAACGAACCCCGCGATTAGTTGACCGATAGCTCGACGGCTAGGTAACGAACTTAACCTTTGGGAGTTCAATCAGGCCTAGAGACTGCAGCCTTCGTGGAAGAAACCTAATCACAAAAGGGCAAAGTTCCCTCTAAAATCCAAAAGGCCAGAAAACTCCACCATGACCACTTGGCCACGTTCCTGTTTGGAATTTTCGAGAATCTGCGGGGAAACACGATGCCGACGACAATGGCATATCCAGGAATTCTATTCCTCTTAGCGATATACCGCATCAGCCTCACACCTAGCTTGGCAGCTACGATGTTCGATATGTAGAGGTAAACTATTTCAACAATGTATTATCACAATCCATTACCTTGAATGGCTAATATATTTTCCTAGTTTTAACATTCGGTAAGTTAAACAAGAAGCTTTGTGGTCCCATGATGTTAAATGTGTTAAAAATTATGTTCGATTCGTCTAATAGATATAACCATAAGTTAAATCAGCGACTAGAAAAGTTCATTTTACCTTGAAATCTTCAATTATGCACAATGGTTCTAGTTGTTTCCTTCACATAAACAACAGAATAAACATTCACAAGTACAAATCGACTAAGTCCTTAAGGAGATTAAAGGCACTGAGACGTATGATGTAGAAAAGAATTATTGAAATGCATCGAAACCTGTTGAAATTGGGATCAGCTCAAATGGTGATATTCGACTTAAAAAAGTGCAGATTTTAAGTAGATACATCTTATTATCAGTGAGGTACTATAATAGAGACTCGAATATTAAAGTATTCTACGGAGGAAATTAAAAACAAATTCAATGAAAAAGCTATGAAACGTTTCCTATCTACAATAAAGAAAGAACATCATCACACTGATAAATTCCAATGTATACAGAGAACTACGACTGAAACCCTAATAGTGAGTGCTACACACAAACCCTACAAATAAGACACTAATTGACACCCGTCAGAAAGTGTAGTCTTTTTTCCTCTTATTTTGATGACTACTACAAACAAAGGTGTCGTGACCGAACACTGAAAAAAGAAAGCAACGTTAAGAAACAGACTAAGCCGTCACAATTCCAGTATAATCCAAAAAAAATATTATTTCTAAAGAAAATTCTGAAGAATAAACCCTTCAACCTTCGTCATGACACAAGGCACCACTGACGGAGAAGTAACTCCCACGACCGACTTTCTATTAACCTCGGCATTGATTAAGTAATTCTTCGTATTTTTGTTGAGCAAACGCGAGGTGTTATTATTCTTTATTCACGAATGAGCTGACGTTTCGGCGGATTTCGCCTTCCTCAGAGCCTGGAAAGGTCAAGTTGACAGCAATCTACTTGGCCAGACGCCTCCATAACCAAACAAAGAAACTCTAAGCCAAGATTTCAAACACATTGAACACAGCTTTGCACACTAACCGCTTTCTATGAGGTCTCCACTAAGTGTGTCACGTAGAGACCAACCGCACAGAAATCACATGGAAGTATAATGTGCCCCACTCATCAGAATAGCAGTCTTATATACTGCCCTACATCACGCGTGATAATGAGGCATTCTTCCCTGCGGTTCATTTTCGGATTTCTGGAATTAATCCAGAGTGCCTCGAGAGTTTTTCGCACCTGTGTTCTTGATTCGCGTGCAAGGATCGTGACACATACTTCAAAGCCCTCCCCGTTATGTCTCTGGGTCCTATGCGTGCCTATCGGAGTATTTGGTCTATGTTTGCCGGCTAGGTGTTCTTTTATGCGGCCACAGAGGGGTCTGCCCGTTTCGCCAACGTATTCGTCCCCGCACGCTTTACAAGAGATCAGATAAACTATACCCGAGCTCATGCAATCACCGTCTCTACCACTGGGGCAAATTATGCAATTTTGAGTTGCACATAGACGGTCATATAGGCGGTAACGAACTAGCTGGCGCTTAAGATTACTCGGTGGTATTTCAACTACGCGTACCGAATTCTCTAAACCCGCCCTTCTTAAACAGCGTTTTATAGCTGTACTTATATAATTTGAGATAAAGTGTAGGATAAACGGGACCCTTCTATCGCTAGAGCTAGATGGCTTCAAGATAGAGCAGTTGATAGCACTCTTAAAAGAATGCTTGAGCTGCTCAATCTTCAGATGGTTCGGAAAGTACTACGCTCAAATAAGAGGGTTGGCAATGGGACAACGACTGGCTCCAAGCCTTGCCATTGCATTTATGTCTAAAGTGGAAGCACCGGTGACTGATCTCGGGCCGCTACACTACTGTAGGTATGTAGACGACTGCTTTGTCCTTTGCTCAACACAAGAGGAAATGGACAAATGCTTTGAGTTGTTAAACACACAGTCAGAGTACATCAAGTTCACCCGCGAAAAACCGAAAGAAAAATGGCTTCCATTCCTGAACGTGCAAATTCACCTGTCGGAGAATGGCTAGATTACAAAATGGTACCGAAAGCCAAGTAGTAAAAACATTTTGGTTCATTACCTCTCCTCTCACCCCTCTCACACGAAAAGGGCGCTTATAAGAAACATGTTTCGAACGGCAACCAACGTGTGTACGGGAAGAGAGCAGAGAGAGGAGTCCCGAAACTTGGCACGGCAAATAGCCATTTCTAATGGCTACGAAACTGTAGCTCAGGATAGGTGTAGAGGAAATCGTAGGCCTCCAAACGAAAACTCTAGCGATAGAAGGGTCCCGTTTATCCTACCCTTCAACTCAAATGATATAAGTACAGCTATAAAACGCTGCTTGAGTAGGGCGGGCTTAGAGAATTCGGTAAGCGTAGTTGAAATACCACCGAGTAATCTTAAGCGCCAGCTAGTTCGTAACCGCCTATATGACCGTCTATGTGCAACTCAAGATTGCATAATTTGCCCCAGTGGTAGAGACGGTGATTGCATGAGCTCGGGTATAGTTTATCTGATCTCCTGTAAGACGTGTGGTGACGAATACATTGGCGAAACGGGTAGACCCCTCTGTGTCCGCATAAAAGAACACCTAGCCGGCAAACATAGACCAAATACTCCGCTAGGCACGCATAGGACCCAGAGACATAACGGGGAGGGCTTTGAAGTATGTGTCACGATCCTTGCACGCGAATCAAGAACACAGGCGCGAAAAACTTATACACATTATACTTCCATGTGATTTCTGTGCGGTTGGTCTCTACGTGACATACTTAGTGGAAACCTCATAGAAAGCGGTGAGTGTGCAAAGCTGTGTTCAATGTGATTGAAATCTTGGTTTAGAGTTTCTTTGTTTGGTTATGGAGGCGTCTGGCCAAGTAGATTGCTGTCAACTTGACCTTTCCAGGCTCTGAGGAAGGCGAAATCCGCCGAAACGTCAGCTCATTCGTGAATAAAGAATAATAACACCTCGCGTTTGCTCAACAAAAATACGAAGAATGACGGAGAAGTGTTCATCAAAAACAATATTCCTTCATTTTTAATAGGATTACTATAACCACAATGAGGTTGAGATAATTGCAAAACTCCGGACCGCAGGTGTCTGCGGTGGGAATCGAACACACTATTACTCTTTCCTGCAGCTGACGCCTTCAACATCACACCATGCGCGTCCTTCACTTCGTCTTTCTCTCAGTAATCCCAGGATTACTATACTTTCTTACCTTCACAATTATCACAATAATCGCGTTGTGGTAGGGGTGGTTTACTCGTTTTTTGGCGAACATACACCTCCTCAACATCCTGTTTCTCACAATCCTGGAATATACGACATTCTATGACGTACTGCAAAAAATAGAAGAAATCGTAATATAAGCTGTGATTTTGTTTGCCTTACAGCAAAGACAATTTGCAATGTAGTACTGTACGAAAAGGAATTAGAGAAAAATGATTAAGCTCTCGGCGTTGATCAATCCCTGAGAGATGCGCCACGCATTCCACTTCAGCATTGTTTGGAGGTAACTGAATGCATATCATGCCTTTACAATGACTCCTTGTAGCCTACTGGTGTATCGAGCCAGTGCTGCTATCCTCTCAGACAAGTCTGGTACCAATTTGCTGACCTCGGATGGATGAGCGCTTGGTGGACCTGGGAGACACGGATCGATTCCATATGTGTACTACAGGGCGCTTCCGACCAGTGCGCTACACACCTTTCTTATGAAAAGGAATTACAACGCTAAAATAGACAGTACCGTTGCCAACAATGAAAAATATTATCACAGAGAGTCAAGCACCATTACTATAGCAGCTTGTGTCACGGATTAGACTGGCTCGAAGAGATAATGTAAGAATTGACTACCACTTTCTAAAAATACCTCCGTTTCGTGTCGATCAAAAACTTCACAGATGTCGCAATACGTTCTGGGCTTCAACTCACGTTGACCAAAAGAAATATGAGGTAAGTCGATGGTTACTCTATAACACTTGAACTCATAAATATTAACAGATTCGAATGAAAGGACAAAGATAGAATCCCCGTTCCTGTGAACGGCTGGTTCAATAAAACGAGTAATTTTCCATATGTGGATCTTTTTGTTTTTTTGACAAAGAAAACTAATTTTTCAATAATAAGAGCGCTTAGTTGTGAAGATGACAGAATTATACAAAAGATTTCGCTTTATCGATTTATGGGTCGTCAGCTAACTCATTTCCCTAAGAATAACGGGGTCACCTATTTTTCAGCAACAATTCCAAACCTGCAAATGATTTGAGATTGGAAAGAGTAGAAGTTGTCATGTAAAACCGCTTTTCTGCACACGATATGGCATAAGGACCACATTGAAGTGGCTAGTAAATGCCAAATCATAAGATCTTCTCATAGAAAACTCCACCAAAATGGCTAGTAAATGCCAGTCCTTAAGGTCTTCTCACAGGAAAGTCCACTAAAATGGCTATCAAATGCCAAATCTTAAGGTGTTCTCATAGAAAAGGACCGTTTGCTGTCATAGGTGACAACTTACGAATCAGCAGAAAGTTTATTTAGAGCATCTATCTTCTCTTGAAGTGCTGTCTCCTTTCGTCTCTGATCAGCAATGATTGAATGGCAAAAGGCAAGCTGAAATTGTTGCTGATGCAAATACAATGAAAATGTGAAAAAAAATATGGACGTTTCACGACAATAATGTGACAAACTTTTGCCTCAAAAGAGAAGAGAAAACCACCAACCTCATTTCTCAGCGAACGAATTTCGTCACATTGAGTCCTTGCCCTTGCCTGTTCCAGTTGAGTTGTCAACTCGTCAATCTTTTCACTCATTCTAAGCTGCTTCTTTTTCCAGTCTTCTTCAAGCTCATTATATAACTCACTGAAACAAGTGCTACTGAAATATATGTCACACATAGAAGGAAGGAAAAACTCACATCTTTTGTTTAGCTTCAGAGACAAGAAGGTTTGCATTTACTTCATTTAACTGGAAAGAAGTCACCTTAAAAAAAAAAAACTAACATGACTACAAAGAAGCGGCTATTTACTTAAAATTATATGCAATAAATCCGCAAAAAAGAAGGTAAACAGCTACACTTCTTCAACTGCCAATTAGCAGCCATGTTTAATGCTTATTTTATAACCATAATGATGCTGACATAATTGCAAAACTCCAGACCACAAGTGTCTACGGTGACGAACGAAAGCGCTGTTATCCTTTCCGGGGGCTAAAGTGTTCACCACACCATGCGAGTCTTTCGTTTCAATTTTCTCTCGGCTTATTTTATATTCAAAGAAACGAAGCGAAAATGAGGAAATTTAACTTAGATCAAATTTAATTTAATGCACCTCTTTCTGTTTTTCAGCCAATTCTTCTTTCAACTTTTCTACTTCCTTCTCGAAGAGAGTTCTTTGGTCAGTAACTGACTGGACCTCACCCATGATTGCTTCAAACTCTTTTCCCACCTAAACTGCTAGGAAATACACCACTAATCACCCTACACCAAAACTATCCTGTCTCACAACCAAAGTAACACAGACGTACTACATAAGCATAGAAAATGGTAACTACTAGATTTTACCCGGCAAAGCAAACCTTTTCTTCCAATCGATCTGCATGGACCGATAACTTTTGCTGCTGGTCTACAAGTGACTGCTTCTGAAACGCTTTTTCTTTATTTTGCACGGAAGAGAAGGTACATATTATTACAAGATACTTACAAGTATATTATAAACTACATCTTACCTCCCGTGAAAGTTGATCAATCTGAAGTCTCGCTGTAGACAATTCCTGCCTCATCAACTTCTCAGACTCTTCCCCACTGGCTAATTTCTTGGTAAGAATTTCAATATCAGACGACAACCCAAAAAAGAAAGAAAGTGTTAAATAAAACAAAAGGACGACATCAGTAACTACCGATACCAACTTCTCTTTATCTTTTAAGTATTCGTTGACCAAATTATTTGATGCAGCAAGCTCCTCGTTGAGCAATTGGACAGCAGCACTCTCAGACTGACTTGCAGCAAGTTTTGTCAACTTAAAAAAGGTAGGTTATGATCTAATAAGAGAAAGTGAGAGCGTGATGGAATATAACAGAAAGGGTATAAAAGAAAAAATAGCGAACTTATTTTTAGGGAACTTCAAAAACCACTTAATATCTTACCAGTTCCCTGTTTTCTAATTCCAAACGCTCGAGTGCCTCTTTCAACTGACTCTGCTCGTTACAAAGTTGGTCATATTGCATTTTTGTTTGACTTGCTCTGAAGTATTCACAACTTCTTTATTTGAGTTTCCAGTGCATTAGAACAGAGATACAGAAGAATGAAATACCTCAACAAGCGAAAAGTATGGAGAATGGATAGAACAACAAAGACAAAAAAATAAGGAAACAAAAAACAAAACAAGCTATTGAAGAACAGTGCAACAAAAAAACTTTGTTTCACAAGGACGCTTTTTTCAGATGACTACACTTATTGTGCAACCAAACTACATAAAATCAGGCACAGTACGCATTTTACAAAGCAAACCAACTAATTTATTTGGATTGACTGCAAAACTCGAGGACCATGAGTGTTATAATGTCTGTAGGTCATTCGAATTTTTACTTCTTTTTTCATTCATTTTCTTATACTTTTACCTACATTTCATATTTTTTGTATTTTCGATTTTATATTTTTTATATCTTCAAGAAGGTATATTTTAATTGCATGGTTTAACAATAAACTAGGATTATCCAATGACAGACGCTCATATGTCACAACGAAATAGTGTGAGACGAAGAAAGGAATGAAAAATTTTCGCAAGTGCAATTCTTGGCCTGCAAAAGAAATATTTTAAGAAAAAAGTACCAGGTTTGTATAAATCGCCTTGAGTGATCTCTAGACCACCTATTTCCAAACATACTCGTTCTAAAAACACCTTGTTCACAAAAGCGGATGGAGAAAAATTCACTAATGGAAAGATTAGATTTTTCTCAAGCTAATAAACTATTGATATCGATATTGAATTCTCATCAAACTTCTCATGTGCCGAAATTTTCCTTCTTCGGAATTTCCTCCCATTTGTCAAGTACCGGCTGACCTCATAATAGATGTACTACTTTTGTAGAAGGAAAAACTGGATAAATTACACTCAACTGGAAAACACGAACGGTTGAAACCGCCCAAAAAGAAACATGATATTTAGAAGACCTCAAAAGCACTCACAATGCTTGATTGGAGTCCAGTATGTTCCGCTCTTCTTGCATTTGCAGAGTCACTGCTGACACTTGACTTTCGGCTGCCTCTCTCGCCATCACTGCATCGTTTCTCTTCAAAATACATAAAACACGCTTACAAAAACCACCCAGTACAGATAAAAACATATAGCGGCTACAGAAAGTTTACAAAGAAACATATTTATTACTCAATAGTTTCGTACGCTATTGTCACAGCATTATCACATTTTGCACCTAATGCATTTGCAATCATACTTTGAAAATATGAATAAAAACAAGAGGAAAGATACGGAGTGATAAACACACTTCCTTCTGGGTCATTTCGAGTTCCACATCCTTTTGAGTGAGATCCGAACGAAGCTTCCTAGACAACTCCTCAAGTTCTACGGTTTTTTCGGTCAGTCTAAACTATGTGTTTAAATCGCACTGATTTAAATAAGCGCTTACCATTCTGAAAGTTAATGCGACTCTTTCTACAGTAATTAATCCACTAAAACCTTCGAATGAAGGAGCTCACAATTTGACATCGTATTTTAATCCAGCGATTTCTTCCGATTTCGTCCGCAAGTTAATCTCCAATTCCTGCAGAATTTTTGTCTCCTGCCTTAGAGAGTGTTCCAGCTGCAAAAACGACCTTGTGTTTTCTCTGTCTCATGTGAACAGATGCACCGAAATGTGACCATCCATTACAGTGAATACAGCAAAGCAAATATACAAGAAGTTGAACACTCTAGGTAGTCCCTGGTCCCATCATATTACCACAAACTACTTTATGAGGCTTTTGGAAACACAACAAAGACAAGCATGAAAAACTCAGCAAATTTTATTTTCTGAACTACCCGCTCAAGTGACAGAATGAAAACTACATAGTTGCCAAACCATTCAAACCTGTCTGATATCACTTTCTCGTTCTTCTACCAATTTAGTGAGACGGTTTTCAGTATCGGCGAGCTCGCTGGTAAGTTTGGAAGCAAGCAACTCCTTCATAGAGAGCTTTTCTTCGAGACTAAATTCGAAGGTGCAATAAGATCACAAAAATTGTTTCATACAAGCCGTTTAACTTATGTTGCACTAGTTTTGAACACTGAAACTCGAGTAAATAAGGCTAATTGAAAATTAAAAACAGAAAACCTTTTAACAAGCGACTGTAGTCGGTTTATCTCAGTTAGCCTTTCAGCACTCAATGTGTTTGCAGCCACCAAATCTTTGGTCATCGCGTCTTGTCCGAGTTTTGATGAAACTATCTGTATTTGTGATGCTCGTAACACAAGTCAGTTTGTGAAAGCAGACCTTGTATTTTGAAAACATAAACAAAAACTTACAGTATTTTGGAGAGCGACGAATGCGTCCTTCTGTTGACGAAGACATTCTTCCGCTTGTGTTCTACCTTCTGTAACTTCTGTAAGTTCCGATGTTAGCGCCTCTACTTTGTCACGCAATCTGGAAAAAATACCGTATGACTACACAAACAATGACTCCAAAAGATAATTTTCTTTCTAGTAAGTGGAGAGATCAACGCGGAGAGCTTCATCCTTTATCCTCTAAGCGAAATAAACACGTATACTCCATTCTACATAAAACCTACGAAACAATTTCCTCTGAACGATTCCTAAGCTGCAATTCTGAAGCTTCAGTCAACTTCTCCAACTCGTTCTTCTCAGATGTCAACTTTGCGCTAATCTCCTGTACTTTCTTGAGCTGAAACAAATGAGATGCAGAAGTTGACGTATTTTTCTCTACGAACATCTTGTATTTTACAAACATCTGTCTATGGAATACAATTATTTTTCTTAAACAGATTAAAGTTATAGAGACCAACTTCTCTAAGCATGCGCAACAATTTTCAATTGATGAATGTTAACTACATGCACCTCACTGTGGCAAGGTGTTCCTGGGTGTTGGGCTGCATTGTACAACGAGGAATTCATCCCTTGACAAGGTCATCCAAACTGAGAAGCCCGACGTTTCCATCAGGAAGCTCAGCTAACAGTAAGCCAATGCTACGATCCGTCACCGTTCTGGTATCAAACTAGTCGCATGGTAGCAAATCTCACTCTGATCTACAAGGGCGCCGACTGCCTGTGGTGGTGACGACCTAGAGCAGATTTTGGCCAAGCTGACCTGTGGATTTCAGCGAAATACAACTGCCAAACCAGACACACTGAAAAATGGAGATTATGTTGGAGCCCAAACAAGAAGTGAGGACGGGCCGTCCAAGTATCCAAGTACCCAAATATTTACACGCATTACCAAGTTTTCCGTTCCACCTTAATTTCGTCCAATCAGATAATGTGGTCACTTGGTAAGCAAACACGTCAGGGTAAACTCTCAAACGAATCAGAAGACTTGCTCTGTTTGAAATGGGAGGAAAAAACAAGGATGCGTGTAACGTGCTACGGACACACAATCTAAAGCCTGGGAATTGTGGAAGGAATGTTAACAAAATGAAGATTACCCAAATTCGGATAAAAGGATAAAGCTCTCCGCGTTGATCTATCTTTGAGGAATGCGAGTGTATTGCAGTAGTTTAGAGATGCCTTACAATACACATGGAATCGATCTCCGCGTCCCAGGTCCACCAGGTCCTTCTGGGGTCGGCAAATTAATAAAGACTTGTCTGAGAGGATAGCAGCACTGAATACATCGGCGGGCCATCCGAGTAATTGTGAAGGCCAGATATACATTCAATCACCTCTAACGCGATGCTTAATCAAATCGGATGCATAGCGCGTCCCACAGGGATAGATCAACGCTGAAAGCTTTATCCTTTTCATTTTACTCAAATTCGAAGTAAATCGTATGGTATAGCATTAAAGCCAAGTTCCCACAAAAAAATCAGCTGATACGTAGGTGGTGGTAAAACTAGTACGCCATGGAATTAAACTATACGTGCTACTGTTCACAATGAGTCCCACCTCTTCCACAAGATTCGCTTCAGTTACTTTCCACTGTGCAGCAGCTGATGTTATTTTATCAGATAGTTCTTTCTCCTTCTCGTTAAACCTAAATTTCAACTTAAGCACCAGTTTTTACAAAGCAAATTACAAGACATGAAGTCCTGCACTACCACACCACTTCACTTTTAAAAGACATTTATTCTACTGTTGTTGTTACTAGACATAATAGTGTAGTACATAATACCTAGTACGAGGCATGCAGAGTACTTTTCTTCCAGGATCTTTCCAGTGTGCAACCGGCAAAATTCATTGGTGTGACAAGGTTGCGCTCGAAAATTTTAAATCGTTCATGGGTTTCATCCACTACTGACGTGTTCTGAGCGATTTAGTTACGACTTTACAAGAAGCCTCTTCATCATTTGACCCAAAGGTGACAAACGTGGATCAAAAGCAACTTTGTATCTACTCTGTTATATAAAACGACAAAGCGCATTGTTTCTGAAGTGTACAAGCGATTCACATTTCCGCAATTGTCGCCATCCAGCGGATTCCATTTGCTCGACGGACACGCACAGTGTCACATTTTTCTTCCAGAATCTTTGTACAAAAGTCTGACCACACGGTTGATGGTGGTTCTGTTCTGAATCCGAAGTCCCGTGAGATCTGATCACAACTCTTGTTCACCAATTATGGTTAAGAATCATGCGTTTACCATACCCAATTTTCAATATCTGGCGCATATTACAAAGTATCATGGCATCCCATACTGAAATATTGGTTGCTAGCAAAAAAACAGTGAGAGGAAACGCCTTCATCCTCTTGACGCCTGAAGGGTTTCCGTCACGTTAGCACTGACTAGAATAGAGATGGAAGGGCGGCCAAAACCTGAGGCCACCACGACAAGTGGTTATAACACAGGAATATTAGCAACAGTTAATTTTGTTAGGGACATGATAATAGAAGCTAAACAGAATAGATGGACCAAAGAAAATCCACTCATTTGACCCACCTAAGTCGCTTAAGAGATAAAAAAAAGTTCGTCGAAAAAGGCAATAGTGCGTGGCTCAGTGGGAACAAGCAAGCGGAAGTAATTACAGAAACGACGTCCAGCATTGTAGAACACTGCTATACAATAAAAAAACTCATACACCAGCAATTTCGCCACTCACGGTATCAACATACAAGTAAACATTGAAGTTTAACAAGGTGACCTCTCTCGTCAAAACTACTCAGCACCATCTTCAGAAACATCTTATGAAAATTAAAAACGGATGACAAGGCAGTGAAATATGACCTTAAGGACTTTTGATAGTATGAGCTCATCATCGACGCATCTGCTGAAGCGAAATTCTGCGACAAAACGGAAAAAGGCGAACAGCGCTCCACTAACTTATCTTTAACAGCTTACGCGTACAGTTTGTGTGGAAAACAGTGCCGGAGTTTGGGTCGAATTTAATATTTTTACCATAGAAAGCACCCAATATTTAGAAGACCATTGGAGATAGTGATATACACAAACGCCTTGTTAAGTTGAACATGAAGTTAAGCTAGAATCAAGAACTGATCTCAAGTAAATTCTAGATATGAAATTGTGTTCAAAAAGGGTGAGCATGATATCAACAACGACCGCCCAATCTGCTTGCTGCCTGTCGTCTACAAACTTTTCACTGGGCTCATTCTAAACAGAACCGACAGAACAATGAACTTCAGTCCAATTCCAATGTCCACCTTAAATTCAGGATTATGCTCGAAGAGACAATGCATGGTTCTTCTATTACCGAACATTAGACATCGATAACGCCATCATCATTTCGAGAATTAGACCTCTTATATGCTAGCTTCCCTGCCAAACGACCAAGTCAGACCAGATAAATGAAACTCTGCATCGACAAAAGTAAACATTGCCAGAACAGTCCACGCGCTAGAATAAGTGGTTTTGAATGAATAAATCCACGTCATCGGAATACAAATGATAGTAGCACACGATCAGAGCATAATTTTTAATCCTTGCAGTAATCCGTTCACATTCAAAATAGTTTGAATTTTGAGTTAATCTTGTTTCAATTACCAAAACACACAAACGTACAGTTGTTGCCCCGCAAGTAGGTTCTCGTCGAGATCAGCCACTTTCAATTCAAGATCCCTGGACTTCTCAAGTAATTCTTGATTAGCCGATTGCACAGACTTTAATAAGGAATCAAGCTGAAAAACATGAAACACCCAAAATCCAAAGTCACTTACATCGAGACTTACAAAAATGCCAACCTGTCTAATCATAATAAACCGGACTTCAGAAAGAAACAAATGAAAAAATCCCATGAAATGTGAATCACATCGCATCCTATCGGTCGCAGCCAATGAATAGAAAAACATTGCCGCTAACCTTTTCAATATGTTCTGCGTGCTTTGAAATGAGCAAGTCCACTTCATTTTCATGTTTGCTTTCGACTGTCTTCAAGTGTTCATTAAGAGCAACAATTTCTTTCTCCTTTGAAGCAAGCGCATTCTCCTCTTCTGCTATCTGGATGGAAAAAACACACCATAAAAAGTTATTTGTAGCATAAAATGTATTTTTTAGATACAAGCGGGACAGTTTTGAAAATCGCTGTAATATCACAGCTAATAGAAAAAAAGTGAAATGTGTTCTAAGACAAAATAGCTGAAAGACCTCTGAAGCACTCACTCTAGCTTCAGCCTCTCTGAGCTGCTTCTCCAATTCAACACAGCGCAAATGTTCCTCGTTGCTAGCCTTGAGATTGTCTTTTAAAGCATTCAGCTGTTCTTGTAAGCCATTATCTTCGAGGAATGAACACTCAGTCTTCGTCTCCAAAGAATTTTCCGTTGTTTTCATGGATTCTTCTCTAGCTGTGAGAACGGTAATATTTTCCATGAGGTAATCCTTTATCCATTGAATTTCTTTATCCTTTTCGTTCAAAATTTCATCCGCAGTCGCTCTTTCAGTGTTTGCGGCTTCCAATGCTTCTTGAAGTAATGCCTTCTCTTTGTGAAGCACTTCCAAATCAGATTTCAAGCCTGTTAATTCCTTTTCCAGTGAAAGTACAGACACTTCCAGAACTTTGTTATTCATTTCCATTGAGTGCAAATCTTTCACCTTGGCTTGTAGATCTTTTTCAAGCACACTCAGTTTATCTACAAAGATAGTCTCTTTTGACTCATTGCTTGTTGTCAACACTTTCACGATTTCCTTCTGATCTTGAGCTTCTTTCACAGCTAATTCCAGTTTGGCTAAATCAAAAAACGCTGTGAACAAAGAGCTACATACACGCAGTACAATTAAATCTATATAATATTGAAGCTTTCACAATTAACAAAAAGTGGACACAATGTATTCCCGACAAGCAATTTAGATATGCGTTAGATCGTCAATACTCTCACACTTGGAGTCCTGGTATTCTTTTACTCTTAGCAGCGCTTCCTGTTGGAAACGCCGGACTCCTTCTCAGCTTGGCAGACCCTGTTGGAGAGATGAATCAAGTTGCTGTACATCGCAGTCTGCTGACACCCAGGAACACCTCCCAGCCGTTATGAGGCGTTAAACCTTTACGAGGAGATCTTCCATAGTAAAAATCAATACTAGGTCCACCGTTTACCTCGATATATAATATATATAAATATATATATAAGCTTGGTTCACTACATAACCATTTCTACGCGAATGCATGAACTCTTCATAAATCCGCAATGAAGTTAAACAATATTTCCAGACTATGGCTTACAGATTACCATCGTATTTCTGAACATTATGGTTGCTATTCTACCCGCAAAGGTTCACAAGTTTAATAGGTATGTCAATTCACGGCCCCACATAAATTCCTAGCTATCAGGTACGGCACAATGCATGGAAATTTGGGAACACAGAAATGAAATTAGAGAATCTACTTTCCGCTTCTCTCCAAAGTTTAAGATTTTAAGATACTTTCAAAGTTCAATACCTCTCACTTTCACCAACTCTTTTTCAATTTCCATAGAGCCATTCGTTGCTTTCTTCAAAAGAATCTCCTTCTCTTCAACAGCACCATTTGCAACAATGAGTTTCTCTTCAAAAGCAAAGCGCTCAATAGACAGTTGCTCTTTGGTCTGAAAGGAAATTTTGCACCTATTTAGATACGAGGAGAAAAATAGCAAAAGATGAGGAATTTCACCGAAAACAACTGAACTTGAAAAAGACAACGGCTAATTCTCGCCCAAAAGCACGCATTAAGGTACCGCTTTAAAAACACAGGAAACAAATTTGCTCTCAAGAATAGGATCAAAACTACTACAAAAACCCTACCTTTTCTAATTCGTTGCGTAACGTTTCGAGAAGATCGTTGTTGGCCTTGTTCTTCGCTCTTTCCTCCTCCAATAATTTTTTAAACCTCTCATTATCACCTTCAACAGTTGAAAGCTGATTTGTAAGAACAGTCATGTCAGCTGTAACCGTTCTTGTGCCCGAATGTTCACCAGTCAACTAGAAATACAGAATCTGTGATTGAAGAAGTCACAAAAATGAATTGTACACGAGAAAAAATACAATTTCTATTCATAGGTTGGAAGCTCCATTGTAAGCATTATAAACTCGTCAATCACGCAGCGAACCCAGCATGGACCAGTCTTTCACTACTCCTCTTGCACTATAGTACGCTTAAGTAATAATCATAACACCACATTTCTTCTAGAGAAGTTTTTAGGAAGAGTAGTCAGGGTAAACTTATCAGACCCTTTCGAAATGGATGTTGCGCTCGGCCTTGTTCTTGGCCAATCCAAACTGCCTCTTATGTAGTTCTAGTCATCTACTTACAGAATTTCCGCTAAGTTTATGCACAGGACAGAGTACACATACATATAAAGTAGACCGATGCACACATACGTAAGACAACCATACTTGGATACCGGAATGGTCCGCCTTTCAATAGTTCGAGACTCAGTAAGCAAGCTGATCCCCGAAACCTATTCCGTGCTTGTTAAAGCGGCTGCAGTTCTGAATATTTCTGCTTAACAAAAATAATAACAACGGCTGCCTATCTTGTACGTGGCCATTCTAGAGGACACTCGGATTCTGTTGGAGTCCATTCCACTACTCTTCCTGTTGATCTTTCACCAATTCCTCTCATTCCGTTGCGTGGCTAGTCCGCGTTCAGCCTTCCATTTGTATTACCGAACCTCAAAGACAAGAAAATTTCGAGGAACTGAACTGTGGAGTTCGGCTAGGTGACAACTGCCGATAGTACTTCAGAGCACATCGTTCAGCTGCTCTATGCCTAGTGCGGAAAACATACGATGTCGTTAAAATATCAAAGCACGTCTCTGCTGCGCAACAGATCGTGGAGAGGACGGCTGAGTCCAAAAGCCCACCTCGGTGTTCTGGATCCGTTACTTTGTTGACGAGTCCTTACGTTAGCATGAATGCACGAAGTGCTGCTCTCACTTATCTGCATAATTCATGGGCGCTTTTTACGTCCATGAAAGGCACAAAGAACACGTATATAGCTGCAGAACTATTCAGGCAGCAGAGGCAAAGAACTCACAGTATAAATTCATCTGTGTTATCGATTTTTGCCCCTGTGTTCTACTCCCCATCGTTCAATATATCTTTTGGGCCAAACCACCTTACAAATTCTCGAAATAAAAGGGATTACTAATGGTAGCCAGATATTGAGTTTATTCGTGAGATGCTAAGAATATCACAGAGATAATCAAAACAATGATCGATTGGGCTACCGCCATCAGGTTAATGGTTATAACTTTTCCTTAAATAAGTGTACCTTCTAAAACATACGGAATGGTTTCGAAACTTTTCCCTTCAGCGGAGGAAGTTACATGGCTTGCACAATTGAAAATGTTCATGGACGATATTACTAGTTTAACTAAATGAAAACCTAGAAAGGTATGGGTTCAGCAACTAAGCACAAAGAAAAGGAAATTATTGAAATTCATATAAAGGAACCAAGGGCAAAACGAAAGAAAAGGCGAAGAGTAAAGTATAAGGCCGCAAACGCAATAATGGAGCCCACAAAGGACAAAAAAAAATAAAAATAAAATTCTCAGCCATTAAGAAGAAAAAGGCAGTAAATAAAAGAGTTAAAATTCTCAGCGTTGATCAATCCGTGAAGCATGAGCCATGCACTCCATGACTTCATACCAACATCTTTAGAGATGACTGAATGCACACCTGGGCTAAACAAAAACTTGTGGTAGCCTACGGATGTATCAAGTCAATGTTGCTATTCTCCCAGAGAAGTCCGGTAGAAATTTGACAACCATGGGAGGATTGGATGGTTTGGTGGGCCCGGGGCGCGTGATCAAAGCGATGATCACGTTTGTATTGTGGAACACCTCTAGCGACTTCGCTAAATGCGCGCCCCTATTGGAGTCATACAAACCTATGTAGAGTAGAGCTATTAGAAATTTTAGACCTTATCGTGACATACTGAAAGGAGCAGATGATGGATATTCAAAGAGATCACGGTTTTAAACCATAGCCGGAAGAATAAATCCAACCAAGAAAAAAAAATTACAAAAAACAAACAGTTCGGAGAACATTCGATGGGATAGATTCGACTAGAAATTATTTGACAGCTCAAGGATAAACCCATCACCTTTTGGAGTTGCTTTTCAAGTTCCAAACATTTTGCCTCCCAATCACTGCTATTTCTATCAGTTTCCTCACTTCGGGGCAACTTGTCGCCTATCGATCCTTCTGTAGTAGACGCGTTTTCCAGCTACAACAACAAATCTATTCTGAATTAAAACGATTAGCGCATAGACACAGAAAGGAAATGTACAATGAAAATACCGAAGCAAGTTTCTTCTGCAACTCTTCTATTTTGCAATCTTTCGATATTGTTTCTTCTTCTAGTCGAAACGTAAGATCCTCCAAAATTTTTTCTTTTTCTAAGAGAACATTCTTGATGGATTTTTTCTCAGATTCCAACTTTGCTATCTGAAAACACATACTGCCACCATATAAAAATAAGTAGAGAGAAAAGGAATCAGACTCTTACTACAGACCAATCTACAGTATTACGAGAGAAGAAGCAAGTTTCCACCTTTTCTGCATGATCTCCACTCGATAGCTGGCTAATGTCTGACCTCTCCATATCACGTTCACGCATTACTTGCTCCAAATGGCGTTCCTTCTCTTTAAGTGCTTCCTAAAAGTCGAACTTATGAACATCTAAGATAAACACAAACAAAGCAGATACAGGAACACTTGACTTTTTCGGAGAAAGTGAAATGGACTACAATGTTTGAATCATTTGTTAACTGCAACTTCCACTCCCATTTTCTGTTCGCTGTGGTCAAGAGCTATTCTTGGATGACCAGCCAAATTGTACAGCGGAAGTTTTGGTCACACAGTGAGGTCTCCCAGGCCAAAGAGTGCTTTCTATCTGAATACCCCATCAAACTACTTACAGCTTCTCACCAAAGATTAGGAATAAAAAACCAAGACAAGAAAGTATAAATAGAAAGCTTACATACCTCTAATGCTTTGATTCTAGCGGTATACCCCGTACTGGACACAGAATAATTCTTGGGCTAAAAAGATAACTTTCATTAATCATCAAAACAAGAAGAATACTGCCCATTGGGAAGAAAGACAAGATACAGTATTCTCAAAATCAATTGCTAAAACGTTGATTTAAAAATGAAAAGAGTCCTTCCGCCTAATTACAAGCCAGCAGTTCCTACTGGAATGAGTTCAAAACATATATTAAACCCATGTGTTCTCACCATCCCAAATCGAGATGATGTAACACTCGATCGTCCTATTGACGATAAAGACTCTCGGCTTCCTGCCAAACTTCGGTTTTGTCGTAGCAAGGACGTTTTAGTCTGCACCACCTGGAAAGAAGCACACAAGTAATTAAGATAGTAAACAGGATAAATCCTCACTAACTGTCATTTTGCCGGGAGTTTGAGAAGAGGCTTTCGTAACCTTCGAAACGAGCACAAAAACGCCATAAGGTGGTTTGCAAGTGAAGTATCTTTTGCCCTGAATAACGAATTTGTGTGAAACTTTCTTCTGAAGTGCAAAACGTAAAGGAGGAAGGACAATATTCTGAGGAGTGAACCTGTATGCTTCCGTCATTCTTTCCCAACGGCTGTTCAAGCTCAATACCAGCCCAAATACCTTGGGCAAACTCAGTTTCGCCAATGAACCTCACACTGCCATGTTTTCCACCTGATACTACAACACGATCACCAATATCAAACCTAAAACGATAAAAATACAAAATAGAAAACATTTTTGAGTGGAGACAACGATTTTTGAGAAAAATGCACCTTTCTTACCTACTTTGCCCTTGTACATCTACAGATGGGTTACAGGTTTTGTAATTACTCCAGAAAAAGAAAAGAAAAAAAACCCACCCATATTCAAGAGCATATGGACTTATTGGTTCTCCATCTCCAAATGTGGAGGCTTTCAGTCTGGACGGCGACAACACTATTCGTTCCAGTTTGCTTGACTTACAAAACAGACCGTGCTCAGGTTTGCACTGAAATCTGAATATTAATAAATATATGAATTAATAAAAGAATACCAAAGAAACAAGGGGCCAGAACAACAAAGGTAAAAGAAAACATGAGAAGTGGTCGTTATAGCTAATCAACACTTAGGTGTAACCATGGTTTTTCAATAACTCAACAACTGCTTCTCATGAAACCGAACCAGTTTAATTTAACAGTGTTAACCAACGAACAGGTGGCATGGGATAAGAGACAGCAGGTGGTTGAATTCAGTTGAAAGTAAATAAGAAAAAATGGATAAAACAAAAACCACATAGGTGATTACAGGGTTTTGGGGCAGCTAACCTAAAAAAAACTCTAAGACCAAAAACATCATCAGACTAATCGATTACAATGCAACCCAAACTAGTTGCGCCTTCAAACGTTAAACAAGCGTATCTCAGACTACAGTAACTGCACAATGTTAACGTTATTTTTCACAACAGGGAATGATGTGAAATACAATCACAACGATGCTGAGATATTCGCAAAACCGGGACCGCTGGCTAGATCGAACCACGATTAGTCTTTCCTGGGGCTCGGGCACCACACATTACACCACTGAAGCCTCTCCTTCGCATTTCTCTCAGCTAGTTTTCTAGCTAGTAGATAGAGAGCAGCTTCGCTAACTGAGACGAAGAGATGGCAACTATTCTGAAGTGGTCTGGTGATGTTCGCCACTTCATCATTGGCTTTCGTTGCTGCCAGAGGTGCGTGGAAAGTTATAAACTATTCTATTTCCTTTTTTGACTAGGTTCACTGCCGATTTAAGCTCTTTGGATCAATCCCGCTGACGGAAGATTGTTGATGGCACCGGTGGATAGAAAACTAGCTGAGAGAAAGGCGAAACGAAGGACTCGCCAGGAGTGATGGTGAACGCGTTAGGCCGTGGAAAGAGTAATAGCGTGTTCGATCCCCACCGAAGACACTCGCCATCCGGAGTTATGCAAATACCTCAGCATCATTGCGGTTCTACCCTAGTTCCATTACAACTTTTTGTGAATTTGGCCTTTAAGGAGATTTAAAATAGAAGGAAAATCTTAGAGCAACAGGCAACCAGCAATGGGCTTTACGTGTTTAAGATGCGCGTAAATTCTAGCCATAACTTACACAGAAGTAACGATGTCCTTGGACAGAACCATCATTTTTACCCAAAGGCTCATCCAAAATTAGTCCAATCCATTCTCCCGGTGCAAACCTAACCGGACCTACGTAGGCGACAGTTCCACTGCGATGGTCAACACGAGCTCGATCACCTGGCTAAAACGTTAAAATACGTAGTATTTAATCAATAACCAGCTGTAAAAACTCAGCGCATGAGTTGGTTCTGGATTTCGTTCAGAAAAATTGAGGGTACAGTGAAGTCTGGGCTAAACGACAAACGTACACCGACTTTTTTTCTACAAAGCAAATATTCACCCGTTAATTCGATTTGGTAACGCGTACAGTACATGCATATATATGTATATGTATACAACTTGAATGACCATTACAAATTTACCCATCCCATCCAAATTTACCTTAGTGATTTTGTAATTTAAATTCTCGTTGGCTTCCCCAAAGATAGAAAGAAGGATAAAGCTTTCGGCGTTGATCAATCCCTCAGGGATACGCCATGCATTCGACTTTATTAAACATCGTTTGGAGGTGACTGAATGCATATCTGGCCTTAACAATTACTCGCGGCGGCCCACCGACGTATCGAACCAGTGCTGCTATCACCCCAAACAACTTTAAACTCTACTTTGTAAAATCTAAGATCAATTATGGCAGCGAAAAAATCGCCTGTAATGTATAGAAACATGTCTGTCAAAAAAGGAAAGTACCTGCCACGATCCAACACCGCTGACACAGGATGTCACTGAAAACAAGGACTCCCGGCTATCCGCCCTCCCTAGTTGTGAATTCATAGCCGTTTTGAAGTGCTCAAGCAGAAAATATACAGCCACATATAGAATCACTACCTTAAACAGTGAAGAAGAAGGGAATTGGCGCTTTCTTGGTTAACCGGAGAAATAAAATTACGTCTAACATCACCGACAAACAAGATTACAGTACTAATAGCACTAGTACTTACTATTCATAGTACTGGCCTACTCTAACCAGTAGTACCTACCAGTACATTCAATGAACAGAGTTCCACAAACAAAAGGAAGCTTGAACGACAAGAAATGCTACAATTCGATGACAATTTGAATGATAATTAGACAAAAGACTGCTGAAATCATTAACAGATCGAAAGGGAACGAGAAGCAGAAGATGGAATCCCGATGGCAAAGAACGATAGAGTGTCGCAAATAAGATCGTATACCATTTATAACTTCTTGCAGTAAAAGAAGTACTTCTACTGCTTAATAAAACTGTAAACTAACGATTCCTTTATTCAACACAACTTTTGAAACTGAAACCTGTGCAATCATCAGAAAGTAAAAAACTGCGAAACTGAAACTTCTGGAAGGAGTCAGTCCATGAGGGACAAACGTGACCCAGGATGCCACAAGACACTCGAGCACAATGACGTCGACGGAAGCTGGGGCGAACAAAGAAAATTTGGCGCGTAACCAAATCAAAGATCACGTTGCGGAATACGTAAAATTGCACTACAATTCGCATCATCACATTAAGTGGACGAGGATAGATTAGATATCTTCGTTTGGAACGGTATTGATTGGAATGGAAGACCTAGAAGTTGGTTAGAAAACGCTGTAGTTTTAAGGCACGTAGATGGTGAGATATGAACAGAACTCTGAACGGCAGGTGGGCTTAGAACTTGCGGTTATCACTCCGGGGGTTCACGTGCTACCCAGCACACCGAGTGAGGCTTTGCTTTGGCTTCCTTTTAGCTAGTTTCTTGTTTAAGTTTTTCTATCTTCGCTTTTACTGAAGTTATAGTTTCAAACAGGAAATTACCAATCCACTTGAGACTATCGTTATATCTGTCAGGGTATTATTAGTTTACATAGGACCATCGCGACATCTCCCAGGGTATTATCAATCAACTTGGGACCATCATGATTTCTCTGTGTTTTTTCTCAGTGGCAGATGAGAAAACTTCAAGCGGGAATAGTACATGCACTTTTTCAACTAGGTTTAAACTATGAACAAGATCGTCAGTACTTTAAACTAAACAGAGAAGATGTCGGGACAATGAGACGTATGTGCCCAGCTGACAAAATACCGAAAAAACAAACGATTGCCGTTTGCTGAACTTGATTTCCACGCCGCTTCTCTTCGCAAAACAGCTGTCAGAAGTGGGAAGGAATCGGACAGACTTCTTTTTTAAGTGGAGGCTAATGATTTTATAGCCTACAGAGGCATGGGTGACCTTCAAAAAGATGAGTAGTTAAGTGATTTGTTGCTGGGAAATTATGAACACCACGAAATCTTCAAGTATGGCGATCGTGTTTGGAAATTACAAGCTAAATGACTATCCGATCAAAGACATTTCTGTGATTGATCATCATAATTGGATACTCTGAGCGGATGGGGCTAGCGCACTGATTAGTGATGCAGTCCGCCGCGGAGCAAAGCGCTGCTTGGACCCCCTAGTCAACGCTGTCCCCTCATCCGCGTGGGAACGCCTTAGTTCAGCTATCCTGAGGATTTGGCTGAAGCAAGGAGAATTGACTCAACCAACCCCCTACAACATTCATGATGAAGACGAAATCCCCGAGCGCTAACCGAAACAACACCCGAAATGTTCGAAAAGCTCTGCTGGCCGATGAATACGAGGAATACGAATCGAATTGAAGAAGTGCTGGGATTCGTATAGGAGATGTGATGATAGTATATGTAAAATAACGAAAATTAGACCAATATTAAATTTTCGAGGGTCGAACAACTCGAATATTCGAAGGTTCCAACGTTCAAATTCCGAATGTAATCGATTTTTTGAGTGATGAGTAAATCACTGGGAAAAGATATTATCAGTGATTTTGTTAAGCAGTTAGGAATATACTAATCTGCAAGAGCAAAGGGAAATTTCAGGAAAATCATTACTGAATCACTATTTGATGAAGATAATCTACGTTAACCTTTTTTCTCAGAGCGCTTGGATTCCAGGAAGAGCCTACCCGATATACGTTAGACGACATTCGTAAAGAAAGAAAAGCCGCCAAGTGACAGCCGAACTCATATCCCTAGAAATTAAAAAGACAAATTGAGGCCTTCAAGGATGATGGATGCATGGCAACGGATCGAGCGAAGGAGTCTGAGAAACCGCGGAAACACATGGAAAGGCAGCAATGTAAAGTAAAGAAAAAACGTGAAAAGTGAGATTTTGGGCGTTTTAATCTCTAACGGATTCGCCATGCATTCGATTCCATTCGTAGCACTGAAGAATTGATTGACTGAATATTTGGTCGATACAAATGACTACCGATGTTCAACAAGTATTCTTCCATCGATAAGCCAATATGAGGTTGATAGAAAAAACTTTATTCGGCTGACATTTCGTCATCTTTGCCTTCTTCAGATCCGGATTGATTCGGGTCGATTGTTCACAGCTATTCGTTGTTACCACTTATCTGTCCTCATATACATTGATTATGCATACTGCGATTAAATTAAAGTAGACTTTGAAAAAATACTGCTATATAGTCAACCAATAACCGTAGTGTACAAGAAGGACAATGCCCGAGTGAGGCTACTTCATTGGAGAGGTACCCTATTCTAGAAGATCCGACTCAATGCGGCCACAAAGCTCCACATCGGAAGAAGAAACAGCTGTTGACAATCGACTCGGCTCAACGAGGCTCTGTGGAGGACCAAGGAGTCGGAACGTCAGCCAGATGAAACTTTCATAACAAATTTGTGTTTTCGATGAGGGTATATACATTAAAGTACCATCAAAGTAACCTTACTCGATAGTGTCCTTTTATATAGGGCCGTTGTTGATTGACTGGGTGTCCGGTGATAGTAACTTGTTTTTCTCCCGGTAACACAGCTTGCAGTAATTGGTATTATATTAGCTGGTATAAACAGAAGTAATATCTTTTTCTTGTAAAATAGAGATAACCGACGTATCAAGTACCAGTATGCTAGTACCAGTATGCTGAGCAAGGTGGGATGGTTGGCTCCGAGAGCCCACGGTTCAGGATCGCACCAAATGGCACGTGTGTATAGACGGACACTTCCAAGCACGAAGCTACACCCGACCTAGGCCTTCGATGAAAAACTAAGTAACTAAAAAGTTATATAAAGGCTGCCGAATTCGTGGTTGAGTCGGTATGAGGTTCACTTATTAGAAACGTTTTACAACTTTCAATCTCTACATAGCTCGTAACCAACACAGCGTTTTAGGTATGTTGTCTACAAGTTGTCGAGTCTCCGTGGCAACCGATAACCAGCCATCCACCACTGTCGGCCGTATACACATGGATCGATCCACCTCCGAGAAAAAACTGCCGTAGCTGATCCCATATTTTTCTAATTCATTGGAATAATGGGTATAACTAAGGAGACAAAGTTTGCTGCTTTATCTTTTAAATTTTCGCAAAATTATTGATTGTTTTCTCTTTCGAAATTTTGGTATTTTGTTCTAAATGGAATTTTATACCTTTGTATTCATCTTGTATACCACCTTAAATCTCAGATTCCACCTCATCGACGTTTTTACACTGAAGCATCCGTCGTTGTATTGAATCTAGTCCAATCGAATAAGAACGAGTAAGAAAAAAATCGGTACAAACCATTTTTGGTCGAGTCCTAGCTTAGACGTAGATCACTGAAAATTGCATGAAGTATACTTATTGCGGTCGGAAGTCGGATGGCGCAGTGGTCGTAGGAGCCCTGCAACACGCACACGTGGAATCGATCCCTGCGCCCGTGGCCCACCAAGCCTTCCATACATCCGGGGTCGGCAAATTGGTACCATAGTTGCCTGGTAGGATAGCACCACTGGCTCGATACATCGGTTGGCCACCGCGAGTCATTGTAAAGGTCAGATATGCATTCAATCACCTCCAACGATACTTAACGAAGTTGAATACACGGTGCATCCCTCAGGGATTGATCAACGCCGAGAGCTTTATCCTCTATACTTATTGCGCTTGGCTAAATCGATGCGAAAAATTGTCGTGGTCAAGATGAGATAGTTGCTAATAGTGGCTGAAGACGAAGGACTGCCATCAAAGATCACCACCTAGAGACGTTATTCCAAGCAGATCCACGAGCAGATCATCGAAAGCTTGCAGATGAGCCAGTCGTGTGTAAAGTGAAGGCTTCGTGACACCTCCATTGAATTGAAGAGTCAAAAAGGGAGGAAAAACAAGCTTAATAGATTCCGAATAATCTCTTTAGCAATAACATGCGACTAGAGAAGGATTGAGGTTATCAATGTTTTTTGAGGACGTCACCGTCTTTGATGTAGATGGCTACGATGGACTACGATTGCAGGAAAAAGAGAAAAATGGAAGATTTGCTGAGGCTGGCAATGCTAGTGAAGACGTACCATCCAAGTATTCAAGTAGATAAGTGAAAATCGATTCTATACGACAATCTGCGACGAGTAGATTACACGAATATGAAACACCGAAGCAGAATTGAGGCTTCAGGGCTGTTTGCTCGAGTTACTCGATGGTTAACGGGACTATAGGGGAAAGAGAAAGAGGTAAGGAAGAATTTCACTTCGAAAAATGGTGATTTTGCTTTTTCGAACATGAAAACAATTCGAATTCGTTCGAACCCCTCTTTGAGGTCTTCATTTTTCCACAGAAAAGCCCAATTATTGGCAATTCTAACAAAATTTATTCTATGACGTCACATTCTTCTAAGTTGTTCTCAGTCAAATAACTTTCTCGATCACTTACTCATTAAAAAGCTAAGAAAGCTCTCGGCGTTGACCAATCCCTGAGGGATGCGCCACGCATTCGACTGCATTAAGCATCGTTTGGAGGTGATTGAATGCATATCTGGCCTTTACAATGACTCGCGGTGGCGTCCCGATGTATCGAACCAGTGTTGCTATCCTCCCAGACAAGTCTGGTACCAATTTGCCGACCCCAGAGGGATGGAAGGCTGGTGAGCCATGGGCGCGGAGATCGATTCCACGTGTGTGTCGCAGTGGCGCCTCCAACCACTGCGCCACAAGTGCCCTTACTCACTAATTACTGTTACTAAATTCGGTAGCACGTTTATGTTTATTTGTTTGTCTTGAACAGAAAACAACAAAGCGGTCACGTAGTAATGGTGGACAGCGATATCGTGGCAAAATGGAGCGTTCCACTTCAAAATAAGGTAAGAAGAAATTCCAACGACCTCTTCTTAGCGATAGATTTTCTACCAGGAAGTTTCGCATCGCTTTCTCAATCGTTCGTTACCGAAAAGCTCCTGTCCATCGTTCGACAAAAACATAAATCAATTTTACAGGTTCATCGAATAGAATTCGAACACGGGACCACCACAGGCAAGCGAGTTATTCGTATAGATGGAAAGGTTCGTGAGCTAATTTCAGCAGCCACCACGCTATTTTGAAACTATGCAAAACGAAAGAAAATGATAAAGGATAAAAAGGATAAAGCTCTCGGCGTTGACCAATCCCTGAGAGATGCACCATGTATTCGACTTCGTTAAGTATCGTTGGAGGTGATTGAATGCATATCTGGCCTTTACAATGACTCGCGGTGGCGTCCCGATGTATCGAACCAGTGTTGCTATCCTCCCAGACAAGTCTGGTACCAATTTGCTGACCCCGGAGGGATGGAAGCCTTGGTGTACTATGGGCGCTGGGATGTGCGCTGCAGGGCAACTCTGACCCTGCGCCACACGCGCAACAAGAAAATGATAATGAGGTTAAATTGATGATTCATGATTCCCAGGATCGACCTCCTATTAACCTCAGGATTGGACTATAAATGCGTTGTTTTTGTTTGCCTTGTTGACGATTTATGGTCAAATATTTGTTGGCCAAAAATTTACTTTACCAATAAATGTATTTAAATCAAAGCCAATCAATAATTTGGAAAAAAGGACTTTGCTATGGACTGTTTCAGAAGGCTTCACAAACCATAGGCGCTAATTATTTTAAAGCATTCCTAAATAATTAGCTGATCCGTCCGAACATGACGAGGGGCCGCAGCATTTCCTCCATTTGATTCATTACCCCACAGCTACCATCCATGGACTTATAGCGTGTGGGTTCACATTTCAACTTAAGCTTATTCAACTTATCGTATTCTGCATTAGCTGGATTTCTGGTAGCGTGTGCCTTCACCTAAAATCCTGATATTACCGCCCTAGAGCCATCCTAAGCTTTCTCTACAAGCAGTTGCCCGCTCTCATTGATAGGAGGATAAATTTGCTCCTTGGCAAGTACCATTCTTCTAATAAGGCAGTGCCTATCTCTATGGTTAGTCAACAGACAAATCGAGAGCAACAGACCAATTCTCATTAGGAAGGATAAACGATAAAGCGTTCGGCGTTGTTCAATCCTTGAGAGATCCCCTGTTTATTCAACTTCTTTAAACATCGTAGATTGAATATACATCTGGCTTACAAATTGATTTGCGGTGGCATACCTGAATATCAAGTCAGCATTTCTGTTCTCCTAAACTGTCCTGAAGCACGCAATCGAACCAATGACCGATCCAGTACGTCACGCAGTACACCTCTAACTGTGCGCTTCAAGCTCTCAATCCCGTAATTATCTTAATTAACGTCTATGAGAAAAGCGAGAATAAGCAACAAGTACTTCTGTGAAGAGTGTAAAATGCAAACGGCATGGATACCGTAATAAATGGAGATCCCAAACCACTTAATTATGATCACTGATCCGAACTAGTTCTGAGCCAGCGGGGCTCCTCATTATTCCGGGGTCAGGAAATTTGTCCAAGAATTGTCTAGGAAGAGCCACCTTCGATCAATAGAAAAGCTGGTGAGTGACTTTGATGAAGGCGATCGAATGCCGTAGCACGGCTATTTCATGATTCTATATAGAATTTAATCGACCATCACTAACTGAAATACCTGAAGAAGAAAGACTTCTAAATGGCGACAGGACCCACTCTTTGAAGTCCTTCACGTATTTACAATGGATGCAAGGCAGCGAAGATATTAAATCATTGTCGCCTTGCCATTTGGAAGGGAACAATGAATGCATGCTCTGCCAACACAATTTGGTTCCGAATTCAACAAAATGGCAACAACGACAACAAATTTACCATGGGAACCCTTACAAAGAACAAATCGAAAGAACGTATATATACATGCATATATATAACAATATAACTCGAGTGCTCTATCAAAGTTTCGATAGAGAGGGTAGCGCAGTTGTTTAAGGGGCTTTCCAATACATAAAGCATGCTTCGATCCGGCGCCCTAAGTTAATCCAACGCACCATCCTTCCGCGATCAAAAAATTACTATCAATACTTTCTGGAAACGTAAAAAGACTAACTTTATTCATCGGATGACACCGCAAGATATTTCACGGGAAAACTATGAATTCAGCCACTTCTAGGATACGAAATGGGGTTGGTGGCTCTTAACATATCCTTCACGGGTTAGGCCATCCGATCGGAAAAGTGAACGTCAAGCACTTCACCTTCTATGATTTTGTCGACATTATAGTTATTAATGATTCTTCAGTAATAGTATAAAAAATTCGGGAATTTTTCGCAATGCTCGCGATTATCCGAACAACGAGGTTGTTTTCGAGATTTCCCACTCAAGTCTTTTTGTCGGTGACCATTCTAGTCTACATCCAAATAATAGTAAGAACAGTAGTGGTAGCGACTAGTTTCTGAGTTCGTTGGAAAGCAATTGAAAAGTAGAAATATCCTGTTCTATATGTCAGATATACCACTGATAACAATTTTTTTTGATGGTTAATCACATAATTGAACTGTGGTAGCACAATAGAACTCTCATCTTGCAGGTAAAGGTTTATAGTTTCTAAAAGCCTTTACTGGAGTAAAAGTAGTGGTAGTGATGTTCGTCATCACGAGCATGATGCTAGTTCGATTCCGCTTCAGGCCAATCAAGCCGCTCATCCCTCCAGGGTTAAGAAATTGGTACCGGACTTATCTGAGAAAAAAATCACTCTCTGCAATCCAACTGAGAACGCTCCAGCCTGGCTATCTCAGGACTCCAATGAGAATTGCTCGACCATCATTCTACGACATTCAAGATGAAATGGAAATCCTCAAGCAGCAACCGAAGCCACACGTTAAAGTTCGAAGACTTTTGTTGATGATGGATGCGAGGAAACGAATCGAATGTGAGAAGTGCTGGCATTCATGCAGTAGACGTGAAGACATAACAAATAAAATAAAAAAAATAGATAAAGAATAGCCTTTATTTTATTCAATAGAATTCAACACTAGTTGAGGTACAACCACAACGTTGCTGAGATATTTTCAAAACTCTGGACCGCAGGTGTCTATGGTGGGGAACGAACGCGCTATTATCCTTTCCGGGGAGTAACGCGTTCACCACCACACCATGCGGGTCCTTTGTTTCGCACGTCTCTCAGCTATTTCTATCGATCTTTTTGCCACAGCAATCACCCGTCAGCGGGGTGATTGTATAAATAAAATATCTCAGCAACGTTGTGGTTGTATTTCGCTTAGTAACCTCCCATGAAAATTATAGAAGGCAGAAAACAAAACGTTAAACTAGTTGAGGTATTTTACTAGGAAGTCGGAAAGGGCTGTAATTTTCGTAACAGACCCATTGTATTCAATGCAAATCGAACACTATGAAAAATGTGGAGCCTACCGTAGATGTAGAAGAGAATAGGGAACGGTGCGTATTGGTTATGTTTACTACAGAAAGTGTTTAGGAGATTCTCCGTCGTGACTGGATGTTCAAATTAGTTGGTAGCGAGAGCTTTCAGCTGGGTAACATGAAATGCACTATTACCGTACAAGCCCTCGGCACCTTCGCCTACGAATATTCTCTCGAGGTCAGTGAAAAGTTGATGCAAAATGCAAAAAATTTTTTTCATTTCCTCGCCGACACGGAAACAATCAGAGGATTGAAATGTTTAGGATGAAAAGATTGCTACAGTCGTAGCCTTTGTGTTGATTACGGGTTGATCAATTTGGATTATTTCGCAGCATTGGATATTTCTGGGATTTTTTGCAGTGAGAGAACAAATAGGACAAAAGGAAGAAGAATTTGTGACACCAACTGGAGCTCCTTTTACTGTCGATGTTCTAAGGAAAAACGTTAAACTTCAAAAAAGGAACGAAAGATAATACGTAAATTAAAAATATTTCAGCCAATTAAAATTATATATCGGAAAAAGAAATACTCTTGTAAATCAAGCAGCTGTTTAGAAAAAGTTATAGCTACGTATAACACTAAAAGATTAGATCTGAGTAGACGATTATGAAAGTTCGTTCCCCATGGCGGACACCTGCGGTCCGGAGTTTTGCAAATATCTCAGCATCATTGTGGTTGTATCACACGCAATACCCTACCATAAAAAATTCTAATAGGCAGTTCAGAAAAAGTTAACATTGTGATTACGAAAGTAGTTCAATGTTTTAGAGCATGACTCATCGAAAACCTTATGTATCAATGTTTTTACCGAAGAGAAAAATCGTATTTTCAAAGGAATATCGACTTTTTGATCGAAAATTTCGGATCATTAGATGTACACTACGAGATGGCTTCGGATTCTGCTGATTATCTCAGAATTCTTGCAGATGAAAGTCATCGTTACAATTATAGCTGTAGTTGTAGCTATAGCGAAAATTCTAGTTGAAGCTACATCGGAAGAAAATTAGACGGAAGGGAATAAATTTGATTAGGAATATTTTTTTGTAAGGGACAAAGTTTTAGGTGAATGGAAAGAACTACGAGAAATTCCGAGAAGAGCAGTGTAAGAAGTTACTGTGTTGGGAGACGATAATCAGCGGCGAGGAGACGAGGATCGTGTTAGGTGAGAGGTTGTGTTGCTCATCTGGTCTGTTAGCACTGCAAAATTTCCGTTTTCATGAAATATTTGAGTTCAAAAAGTTAAAAGCTTATCGCCCGACTAGAAATATCCAATCGGCATGCATTCGATTCCATTCGTAGCATCGTAGCGGTGAATGAAAACATATTTAGCCTATAGAATAACTTACAGGAGCATACCAGTGTATCGTGATTGTTTTTTATCCTCCCAGACAAGTCTGGTAGTAATTTGAGTACGCCGGAAGAACGGAGAATTTTGTTTACGCAAAGCTCGAAATAAAACAGTGAGCATGTGTTAGATGAACAGCTTCCCTAAACACTGCTCTAGACGCGTTCTTAAGTACTTTACACTTTACTTGTCAGAGTTAAGGGGGTAGGGGTGGAGCAGGGGTGATTCAAATGTTATCGTGCAAGTTCTTGAACGCCTTCGGTTAAAGAAGTGAGAGTGTTTCATTGTCGTCTGAATCTGCGTGGACTTCGAGGCTGTAACGTCCCGAATTAGCAAGCAGGTTCGCAAAAATTATTGTGAAATCACAATTTCTACTCTTTCCATGAAAAACTAACAACCTGTTCGCTCTTTCTTCGAACATTCTTCGTTTCATAAACAGTCTTTGAATGCCGTTTGCCTTACTAATCAAGATCAATCAATCAATCCACACAAAAAACGGCTACTAGCTTCGGTTCAAGCCAGATTTTTCATCGGTCTAAACCTAAATGATCGTTGGGATGATTTGACTTTCATTACAGATAAGGAGACGATGGAGGTCTGGGTGAATGGAATGAAGATTGACACAGCTGTAAGTTTCTGGTTCATTTGACTTCGAACGCATGTGCCTATGGCGGCGATGTAGAAACAGCCGTATTGATCGCTGTTGCTTGCTGATCAATACGCACATATTTCATTGCGCATATTCTAGTACGCTTAATTCTTTTCGTGATCATGGTGGTGCTGAGATATTTGCAAAACTCGGAACCCAGACCAGACTCGGACCACCGAGTATCCTTTGGGTGCTGTTTTTTGGTTGTATTTTACAGAATTCCGTCATGAAAAAATAAGGCGCGGTAGATAAAAAAGTTATACATTATTTTTTTATGATTATTTTAATTCGTGTTTTTTCAGCTACTTCGCTTAGCATTTCAGAATGTTAACTTGGCTACAGGAGAGTGCATTCAGTTAACAATTTGAATAATTTGTGTCATCTACAAGTCCGTTCGTCATCGAATGATTAGACCAGGCACTAGCAACTTCTCCATTCGTCCCTGTCGGACATCTCAAAACCAGATAGGCACCAGCAACTGAACGAAAACCGTTTTAACGTTAGCTACGGTTGATCGATTGCCCTTATTCATGGCGCGCTAGATATACCCACGGGTAACTTATCAGGGTCACCCGAAGCAGATGTGTTGCACGAGACGAAGAACTTCCTCTTATGCATTTCTTATGCATATGAATGCATGATTTTGGCCTTACTGACGTGCAAGAGGCTGCGGGTACGAAGTAGGCAAGCCCATGAACAGAAAACTTTCTCAGTCATTCTTAGTATTCTGTTTATTACCTGATCGATATCAAATGTATCGCACTGTGCGAATTCCTGCACTTATTGCATTCGATTTGTTTCCTCGCATCCTTCATTCACGAAAGTCTTCGATTTCTTTTCTTCTATATCGATTTCGCTGCTAGTTAAGGATATTTTTGTTGAATCTCGCCGGAATTCTGGAATAGCCGTGTGGGAAAATCCCACGTGATTTGAGGGGTGAGCTTGTCTTAGTCAATTCAGGTAACAGTTTCCTGAACGAGCCCAAAAGTCTGAAAAACTTGGTTAGCCTAAGGCGGGGTCGAACTAGCGCATGGGTAGTTTAACCCATCTGCGTAATGAACGCGATCGCTACCATTATGCTTTCCTTTGTCTTCCATTATTGTAGTACGAAGTGGCATCTTCAATACCACACATAATTTTTATCCAATGTTTATTAAAAATCTCATGGATGTAATTGCTTAATGTAAACCGAATCACTGATGTTTCTTGGAATTCTAGGGTGAATTTGTAGCTGATGGCACGGAGACACACTTTGAAGTTGGACGCCATGTGTGCAAAATCACAGCGGCGAGCAGTGGACGCAAGAAAATTGGTGTCGTACACGATCTCTACGTCGATGGCGAACTAATTCCTCACTTCACGTTCAGAAAGAGACAATAACTTCTAGAAAATAGCTGTGGTCGATCGATTGACAGTTCGACCGGAATCGATCGGTAAATAGTCACTAGTATTGGCCATTAAAGACTTTAGGGATAGTAAACGGCGAAAACTTCCAGCATTCAACACGTGTGCTATGAAGATGTAGAAGTGTAACATTCCAATTATTTTCTAGTGTTTTGTAAGTATACGACGGACGACTTTATATTTGATGTTCTATTTAATCGTTTTGTCGAATATTCGAGTTTTCGGACGTTTCGAGTGTATGAGCATTAGCCACCCACATCTGGCTTCGTTAGTCATTCTTATTGTATTTTGTTCGGATAATTCTTCGTTTTGTAGTTTTTATGACTCAAAAGATTATGGTACCACAGCGGGTTAGTGAAACCAGGCACAAATAAATCTCTTAGATATACCCAACTTTCTAAGAAACTGTAGAAATTGTGTATAGCTGAGACACAGGCGAAACAAAGGACTCGCACGCTGAGGTGGTGAACGCGTCAGCCCCGACACCTACGGTCCGGAGTTTTGCAAACAAGTTTGGGACGAGTTGTTCAACGATAGCCATTGCTTTTACAATGTTTTTTTAAAAAGTGGATGTTTAGGGAGTTCCAGTTTTATTTGTAGCATTGTTATCATTTTGTTAGATGTCAAATTTTTCTAAAGATTCATCTCTTCAATCATTGTCGAGCGTATGAAGATGTGTGTGCTTTTCCTCTGATATCCTGTCTCTCACTAAAGAAATCTATTCGATGCCAATTCTACATGAATATTCCAGTTAAAGCTCCTCGGGAGGTTGCGGACATCGACCTTCAACCAATCCTTTTCATCGATAGTCGTTTTTTATTTCCTATGCTAAACATTCCCTTATAACACTATTCTGAAAAGTAATGACACAATTGATAATTTTACTCTAGTCTTATAGGATAAAGAATAAAGCTCTCGGCGTTGATTAATCCCTTTGGGGATTCACCATGCATTCGACTTCATTAAGTATCGTTTAGAGGTGAATGAATGCATATCTGGCCTTTACAATGAATGACTCGCGGGGGGCCCACCGATGTATCGAGCCACTGCTACTATGCTCACAGGCAAGTGTGGTACTAATTTGTCAACCCCGGAGGAATGGAAGTCTTGGTGGTCCATGGGGGTGGCGGAGATCGATTCAACTTGTGTGTTGCAGTGCGCCTCCGACCACACACGCTCCCTCTTACAAATAATTCATATTTATCTCGAAACCTATACATATCTTTTATCCACTCTAAAGCCGTTTTTTTTGTTTCGTTGTTTTTATTTGTTCAATTTACAGTCGCTTGTAGTGCAGTTTAAGTGGAGCTGAGTAATAAAGTAGCAGTTCTCAAAACAATTTTCTGTTAAGCTCAGCATAGGTCGACGAATTGATCAGTGATCCAGATGATCAATAGGTATATTAGCAGTGGCAATAATGTTTAATTTTGTGTAGCCGGCAGATAACGCGACACTTAATTATTATTATTACTCTCTGTCGTGATGAGTCATATGTGGGTCACGACGACTAAAATGCCTGCCCTTTGAGTGGAAAGCAGCTGCAGAATAATACCGGGTTTTTGAGCCTGAATGACTGAAATGTGTCTATATTTAATGTAGTAGTCGAACGTTTCCTGCAAAATAAATTGTAGAAACGAACCATTACTTACTTATACTTCAGCTCCGTTTGTTAATGAATAGCTAACGGCTTTAGCGTTAAACGGGTATAGCATTAAGAAAAGGTTGAGTAGTGAATTTAATTACAGATTTAGATAACCCATCTACATATAACTTTGGAATTCTAGCTCGTCTTTCATTCGATTTGTAGTCCTGAGCCGTCATCTTTGGAAATTCGCATGAGGGATCGTATTCGGCTTGGATTCTCTCTTTTTTCTTCTCTTCCTCACTGTTATGGTGTTAGGAGTACGTCACGCAAGTGAGCTAGGAGATCCTATGCTTCGACCTACGTCAACGATCAAAAATCAGCGGTAGTGTTGTGCACGCCAAAATGTCGAAGATCAGATGGGACGGTCACGTAATGCATATGAGCGGCAAGAGCTGTTAGCTACTGGATTTTTCGGGATTCCAGACGTACTGCAGGAAGATCATCTATCCGACGGTTAGAGTTCTTCAGGAAAACTTTGGGAAAAAGGTATGATGCTCAACGAGCTCCTAGAACAAGCGCAACTCATTGGGCTACGCTTGCTCGCGACAGGGAGATATAGACTTACCAATGCCCGCCTAAATCACGCTACAGCTAACGGTACGACTGGAGGTAGAAGCGACAGGCGATACGGTATACCTATGTTTGCTGGTAATTCAACTTTGTCTCTCGTAATTCATTGACTCTGAGAAAGACGAAGACGAAGACGTCGAAACGTTGGCCGAGTAGACCTTTTTTCAACATCGTGTTAGCTTAGGAATGAAAGAATATTGATCAGACATCTGCAAAACTCCGGACCACAGGTGTATGCAATGGAGAACGAACACGCGCTGTTGTCCTTACCGGGGAGCAGCGCACTTCACCACCACACCATCCGGGCCCTTCGTCTTGAATGTCTCTCAGCTAGTTCTATCGATCTCTCTGCCATCAGCAATCACCCGTCAACGGGATTGATCTGGAGAGCCGAAATCGGCATTGAACCCAGTTAAGCTGAGGCTTAGTTATAATCACAATCTTAACCCTTTTATTTACTGCCTTTCTTTTTTTAATGGCAGGTTATGTTGCGAAATATACAATGGGCAATAGCGCGCGTTCGTTCCCCACCGCATACACCTGTGGTCCGGAGTTTTGCAAATATCTCAGCATTATATACGAGTTACATTATCCCAACTTTGTTAATTAATCGTCAGTAAAGCTCTCCTCTGTCTCTCTCCGAACAACGATTGACTTAATCGGGTCCATTCGTAAGAAGTGAAGAGCTTCATACTAAAAGCGTGATGTCTTTCGTCTTCCTCGATCCACAGCGAGTTCACATTGTGAGGGATGAACCCCGTCGTGAATCACAGTTCAACACACGGAAATAACCAGCAGCTATGATGAGTCGATAAGGCGATTATCTTCGGTATTACACATCATCAAAGAACATAAGGCGAAATGGGCTCGCTTTGATGGTTATTTAGAATTGCGCATGATTGGTGAAAAACTTTACGGAAAAGAACTTTATTAATATCAGCGAACGATTGTTAGTCTACTTTCGCCCATTCTGTAAAGGGAATTTAAAGACTGGATAGACGTGCCGATTTCCTGGCTCCTGCTCCTGAATTCGCCTTAAATTTGTTAATAAAACGTGACCAATGAGCTTCCCATCCATACCACTCTTCTCTTTTACCTGTTAGAAAACTCAAATTTTATATCTAGTAGGAATTTGGCTTTAAAATCTTATCCGAAATTCGTATGCCACTGCTGTGAGACTTCGTGATGAGTAAGTTCAGACTTCGGAGAATATCCGTTACGTGAAGTCACGAAGCAGTCTGGAGAAGCACTACGAAATCCGCGATTTGATCGGTCGAGGCAATTTCTCACATGTATTCTACGCCGTTCGCCACAAGGACGGAAAGAAATGCGCATTAAAGGTTTGTTGATCGCTCGAATTTAATCCGGTCCGAATTGAACAGAACTGCATTCGAACTGGCTCGAATCCTCTAATGATAATTCTTCATAAATTTTCAGTTCAGACGCTTGAAATTCCACTCGCAAATAATGGAATTATGCAAAAGCTTCTAAATTAACGGCTTTCACAGAATTTAGGAGTTTTCAATAGTTATTGTGGATAGCCTCCCAACGGTTTACCGCCTCATCTAAAGTGTTCATGAGTGCCGGGCTGTGATGTGCAGCGGGGCGATTCATCATCCTAGCAGGGTCTCCTAAGCTGAGGAGTCCGATGTTTCCATCATGAAGCCTAGCTAGTAATAAACCAATACAAGGATCAATGAAACTGGTCGCGTGGTGGTAAATCTCTCTCTAGTCCATAAGGGCTGCAACTGCCTGTGGTGGTGACGACCTGGGGCAGACTTTGACCAGGCTGACTTCGGGACTCCATTGGATCACAATGGCTAAACCAGCAGAACTCCGAGAAATGGAAATTATTCTGGTGCCCGCACAACCAAAGAGGACGCCGTTCATGTATTCAAGTATTGTGGTTAGCTGCCATTGTTCAAAAATTAGCAACTTGGTTCGTCGATTCTGATTTCTTCATACATCTGTCTAGGCTCTTCTTATCCTTGTTCCGTTTTGATTTTCTTTTTATTTGTATAATCTTTAGGAAATCGATAGGCAACAACTTCGAGGGAAGTGGTTCTTCATTGAGAACGAGGTCGAGATTCTGCTTATGTGCTCACATCCGAATATATGTCGCCTTGTGGATGCTTTCAAGACGAATGTTCGATATCTGCTCGTATTCGAGTATGCACAGGTGACCACCACCATCTTTGTTATCAGAATCATCGTAAGTATTATCATCACCAACAAAAAAAGAAGGAATATATCTAGAGTGGACAAATTCGTACGCTCAGTCCTTGCTGTACGTATGACATCCTTAATGTTTTATTTGTCCTTAACTTGGACTTTATGACATTTTATGGTGAAAACCGTTTAGATCCAAACAATCATAGTGTTATCCATCGTATTATACATTTCTGAAATATCAAGAATTCAGCAGAAATTTACAATTTTAACCTTTACCACTTGTCTAGTGTTATTGTAAACCTTCTTTTAGAACGGTGATCTATTTGACTTAATTCGTCGTGATGGTCCATTAACGGAAAGCGATGCTGCTACTATCACTAGTCAGGTAGGTTTACATACTCGTATTTTAACATCTTCCCACTAATATAAAACTACGGTAGTAAGACGCAGGATACTAGTTGCTTGGCAACAGCCACCTATATCATGACCCGATTTATTCAAGCTCGAACCATTAAGCACGGTTATCCATAATGTTCTATGGGTTTTTAACTCACGTGCTGTAAAAAATTGTGTGACTTAATTCGTGCAATACGAAAGCTTCAGGAGATTATTGACACCACTTTTATTGAAGACCCTTCTGTTTCACTCCATACTTCACTCATTCCCATATTTTGGATAGCATGATGTCCACAAGAGAGATCTCCCACAATCACTTTCGGGACCCGTCAATTTCAAAACGAAGATGGTTGCACTCAGGCATTTAAAAAGACAAGAAGGGAAATAACTTCTTCTCCAATCTTTTCCACACCCTCATCACCTATGTCCATGCCATTTCGAAAAGTATATGTATGATGCCCAATGGACTTTTACCTTAAAATCATAGCATGTTATGTATTCGGTGAAAAGTCGCAAACATCGACTTTGGGAGCTAAACCAGACATGAGAGGAGCCTATCGCCTGTGCTCTTCAATACACTGGATCGCAGTTTCCCTAGTTTCCTGTTAAAATGTAGGGTTAGTTTGAAATTAGTAGAATACTTTCAAGACCGTGTTGTTGCAAAACAGAAGACCGGTCGAAAACTATAGCACAATCTGCTTGCAGTCTGTCGCCTTGACGGTCTTCACTTCAATTATCCCCAACAATATTGATGAACACTGACAGAGGGACAAGAAATGTGAGCCATCCACATCCCTAAAAAGATATAGCATAAACAAATGGAAGTCATTGAATTTATCGCAGATCTACATGTCCTAACCTTACGTACTCTTAAGGAATATCTTCAATTCGGCTGAGGTCGAGCAATGATAGACCTTTTAACAAGACTACCAAGGTATTTGATCAGTCCACAAAATTGCTTAATAAGGTATACTACGTTGTCATAACGAAACTTCTTATCCAACCGCGGTATCACTGACATGAAGAAAGGGGAATTTGTTAAGGCATTACCCTCTTGTCAAAATGTTCGGCACCACTCAACGCCACTATGCGGAATCTAGAATAGGACGGCATGGGAGTGAATGTAGATGACTGGAAAGTGCCTCATTTTCATTTTATTGGTGACACTATTTCAACACTAAGTATACCCAAACGGAACGAGTGTTTGCCAATTTCAGCAGCTCTTGTGAAAATCGATCTGTCTTTGAACCTCCCGTTAGTGATATTCATGGGAAATGTTTCTTCGTTTCTGATTCGTAATTAACCTTTAGCCGAATAAATAGCATTGTGCTCAGCCTATGTATACCTATGTCAGGAAGCCGACACGATGAACGACTCTAAAGATGATCAGGATTTAGATGGAGGCTTGGAAAGATTACAATAGAGGTTATTGTAAAGAAGATAATACAGTGCTTTCACGCCAAATGTTCGGCACCATGGCTCTTCCTTCCTTAATATATGCCTCGAACACTAAGCAAACAAAATAAATGAGCAGTAATCGTTGATCAGGTAATCTAAATGAGAAAATGAACCACTTAACTGACAAGACGATTTCGAAATACTTATCTACCTCGACGAACAGAGGTGTATGAGGCTGTGCTCCATACGTCAATTTCCTTTGTTTGACTGTTTGCTATAAATAAACATATAAGGGGTGGCGATAAACAGCATTAAGGGGTTAGAAGAAAGGTTAACAGAGAAGTGTTGAGTCCACTTGTTGATGATCAGATTGCTATTGTGCGTGGAAAGTGTGAATATGCCTTAGTCATCCCGATACGGAAACATAAGTCATCATGTAAGTGATGAATTACTGATAAGTCACCAAAGGTCTAAAAATTTCCTGACACACTGCCGCTTTTCAAGAAAAGCATCACCAACAATAACTATCAGAGGACCGACGTGGATATCATAGATCGGAAGCTAAAAAGCGGAAGGAAGACCTTGCACATCTATAGGCATACAGTGCAAGCAATTTGCCACTAATTTTAGGAAAGATTTAATTGGCTGCGAAATCTTTTCGAAATAAGCACATAAAAATAGGCATGATGGGTTGATACGAGTTTGCTTCATGTCAAGATCCTATTCATAAAAGGTGATTGAAGGACAAATGAGTATATTACGAAGCTGCTTTAGACTGCTTCCGCACTCGCATATCTTCACGGTAGAAAAATCGTTCATCGAGATGTAAAACCCGAAAATCTTCTACTCTTTAACAAAAAGCAGGTTAGGCTTTACTTCAAAATATGCCTTACGGCGATAAATTCTGCGTTAAATGTGATAAATTTTTTATCTTTTTATTTTATTTTATTTGATCCGTCTTCACGTCTACTTTGCGGATTCCAGCACTCCCCATATCCAATTGTTCCTCGCATCCATCGTCCACGAACATCTTCCAACTTTTACGCGTGACTTCGGTTGCTACTTGAGGACTTTCATTTCATCATGGATGTCGTAGAATGCTGGTCGAGTAATTCTCCCTGGGTTTCTGAGATAGCTGAACTCGAGCGTTCCTGATTAGACTACAGAGAGTGATTTTTTCCTAGACAAGCCCGTAGCAATTCCCTGACCGCAGAAGGACGAGAGGCTTGGTTGGCTCGGAGAGGAATCGCACTAGCCCCATGCTCGTAATGACGGACATCACAGCCACTGTGCTATCCGCCTTCTAAATGTGATGAATAGCTAATGAAAAATGAATCCTGTTTATCACGGCATTTTGGCAAAGAAAACTTAGGTTAAATAGAGATTCATCAGATTTGCATAGGATTTAGCACTATTTCAGGCACGTCTTTGCGATTTCGGATTGGCTTGCACAGTTCTCGGACCACTTTATCGGGTGTGTGGAACGCCAACATATTGCGCTCCAGAGATCCTCAACGAGTCAGGTCCATACTTTTTCATTCGGCTTTGTTCTGTTCCACCATTAACAACCAATGTCTTGTTTATCTTCGGCCGTACGCCAGCGCACACATGGTCTTCAGCGCACCTTCGTTCGAGGCTGTTTCTTTGCTACAAACTTTTTTCTAAACGTTTTGTATTCAGCAGACGTAAAAAGGAAAATAGACGAAGTGTATAACACTTAAGAGCATTAATCCTACAGGAATGAGCGGCACATGGAGAAACAGAATCGTAGAGCTAGAAGTGCAGAAAAAGGACGGTAGCAGTTTTTAGGGACAGAGTGGACAAGATGAGTTGATTTCAATGCGCCGAACACGGATTAAAGGCTACGAGTGGCCACGTTTATGCTAAACTTCCTAGTATACCGATTTTTCCAAAACGCTTCATTTCGGAAACCAGCATGGTTCGTTTTAGCATGGCTTCATCACGTCATACTGTTTTACTTTAGGATACGGTTTTGCTGTTGATGTATGGTCACTTGGTGTTTTGCTCCATGTTATGTTGGTTGGATTCGCACCCTTCCGATCAACCGATCGCATTCGCCTATTCCGCATGATAGCGAGAGGAAAATTCCATTTTGAATTACCAAAATGGAAAGGTATAACATCAAGTAAGCTCAAACATTCTCATCGAACCGTTCGCTACGCAGAGCTACCACATCTTCTACTCCGTTTGTCGATTTTTAAAAGACCGCTCACAGTATCATGTGATTAGCATCCGCATTTGTCCACAAAAACGTAGAAAAACGAAGGAATTTCTCCAGTAATCTATACTTGTTTTAGAAGCTCGAGATCTCTTAAGTCGCATGCTTTGTATGAATCCCATGGAGCGAATCCTTCCCAGCGAAATTCCATTACACGCATGGATCACTGGTTTTGGTCACACTGAGCGAACAGGATAGCATGAAGGAGTTATTTTGCGAATATCGTTGACCTCTACTGCTCCATGATTGGTCGACAGCCTTAGAACCATACCAAGAACTTGTCACGTCATTCGTCACTTGGGGCTTACAGCATCTGACGGCTATCACAATCTTGCATTCGTCCCCCTCACTACAATTAATTGATGTCATGATGATATGACGCCATATACTATTTCTTCCTATAAAATTCGCCCCTCAGAGAGATTGAACGATTTGAATAGATTAACAGCATGAGGAGCAGGTTGTTCAAATTGTCAGGCTAGTTTGCACTTCCGTGGTAATGCTTATACGGGCCTCATAAAGAAATGAGACATCGTAGCACCAGTATCATTCGTTTCTAGGATATCCAGAGCCTAGACACATTGAAATATTTGTACATATTGCTGTCGACTGTCTGAAATCCCTCTTGCGAAGTTTTTTAATTTTGATGCCCACAGAAGTGCTCTGTTCACCAGGATCTTTCTCGTAATGTCACTTCACTTCTTACGTTCTCCAACTAGTTAAATTTCTTTCGAAATTTATCTCACTTTGCAGTTCAGCTATTTTTTATCTACGGATTCTCTTCATCTCGTCTTTCTCTCTGTTGCATTTCCTTCTCCATATTCCTCCTATAATAACAAAGAAGGAATGTGTAACTCATTCATCTTCTCTGTTTTCCTAATTCTGTTCATGCACACCATCATAGCTGTGCTCTAATTGCAATTAAGACCCTTTAAATGGAATAAATAATTTTTCTTCCAATGTACATTATCATACCAATAATGATGGTTTAGTGTGTAGTTTAGTTGGGAGTGTTTACAAGCTTTCACCATAAATCCGGTATTCAGGTCCGTCAGGCGAAATACTAGTAGCAGTTTTAATTGTAAGAGTAGTTTCAATCTGGGCACGTAATCCCTCGTTTTGACTCTGAAGGTCATCTTCTCAATTACCTCAGAATTCCCAAATCAACACCCATGAGTTGGTGACTATCCGTGTTGGCTAGTTCGTGTGGTAGTTGATGCTCGTTTTTTGGCCCCATGTGAGACGTTTTGTGGCTGCCTAAGTTAGTAATCCCAGTAAATAAACAGTTTATAACAAGAACAATACAAAAGCCCCAATATGATGGCGTCAAGAAACATAAACTGTACAAGCATTAAGATGATAACGGGATCAACGAGCAAAAGTAAACCAATTAGCAAGAAGTTACTTTAAAAATAAGAAGGTAGCTTGTGCAATAGACTGCTGATGATGAAATATGAGAAAGAAATCTCACCTAGAATACAATATCACCTAGAATACAATATGACTGAGAAAACAAAGGAGCAAGTAGTAGCACGGAAAGCTTATGTAATAAAGTCGAGAAGCACTATGAGGACTGTAGCAAAGAGTAAGAAATAACTGAAACATCAGCGATTAAAGTAGAAAAGGCGTAACGTGCAACTGAGGTTAATGTTGCCTACATAGAAAGTTCATTTGAAAGCGTTAGTATAGGTTGCTCAGGTAAGGCAATGTAAAAGATACGACCAGCACCCAAGCGAATGGCGTGACGCTATCCATTCTTCAACATTGCGGAGATGATCTGTGTTGAGCGAGCCACTAAGCGATGTTGCTTTGCCCGATGGCTATGGAGCGGTATCGAACTAGGGAAAGCAAGGGGTTCTGTGTCAAGTAATTTGAAGTGGAATAGATTATATTACATGGCAATTGTAAACAGTGTTAGGGGAAGTAGGTACTATAAATATCAGACTGTTTATGAAATTGGGACCATTCTTTTCCAGGTAGAGAATAGCCTTTACAATGAAGGTGGAAAAGACTATATATTAAAGTTATTAGAATTGTTACTCCTAATGGTCTACTGGCTCTACAAATAGTTCGGGAATTCCCTATAACTGATTTGTCTATGCTCAATTACCTCTTCCTCATAAATATGTGCGGAAACAAAGTTCCTAAATATAAAAATGCGATTGCTAGGAGGTTTATCCTGCAACCACAATCATCCGAAGAAATTCGACATTTCCTCCGATAGCTCACCTAAGAAGCCAAACTACGCCGCAGCGAAGGTCCACCGATTCCTTGTGATTACCTTCTCATTATATTAATATTGGTGAAAGTTACTTACTTATAAACAGCCCATCTTCACTGGTTGTGTGAGCTCGAGCATAATTTCCATTTAAGGAGTTTTGCTGGTCCAACTGTTGTGATTCCCTGGAGTCCCGGGTTCAGCCTAGCCAAAGTCACCCTAGGCCGCCACCACCACAAGCAGCCACCGCCCTTGTGGATCAGAAGTAAAATTGCTACCATGCGACCAGTTTGACACCATTACGATGATGGATCCAGATATTGTTTTACTCTTAGCCAGGTTTCGTAATAAAGCGCTGGGTTTCTTCTCAGCTTGAGAGATCATGCTGGAGGATGAATGCCCTTACTGTACATCGCAGCCAGGCACCAGAAACACACCTCAGCCACGATGAGGCGGTAAAAAATTGAGAGCATTGGTGAAAATTAACTAAAACAAATTGCGTAGATGAAGACGAGTTAACTGTGCGGGATATAAAATGTGTGATTCGCAACGTCCGATTTAATGTCATGATGAGCTGCATTCGAAACTACTCTATGGTATGTAAATACAGCCACAATGATACTGAGATATTTGCAAAACTTGCACCCCAGGCCAGATTCGAACCCATAATTATCCTCTCCAATGGCTCACGTGATACACACAGCACCACTGAGGCCCTCATTCTACCCTTCTCTCAGCCATTCGTTTTACCTTAACAGTGTCATAAATAATCACTCATCAGTGGGATCGATCTGGGAAGATAAATAGGCACTAGATCCAGTTAAGCTAAGGCTGTAGTAGAAATCACAATATATAACTTTTATCTATTGTCCATTATTTTTCTTCCTTCATAACAGGTTAGTATGTGAAATACAACCACAATGATGCTGAGATANACTTTTATCTATTGTCCATTATTTTTCTTCCTTCATAACAGGTTAGTATGTGAAATACAACCACAATGATGCTGAGATATTTGCGAAACTTGGAGCTCATGCCAGATCGAACCGATATTACCTTTTCCGGGGGCTCATGTGTTACGTACGGCTCTGCTGAAGCACTCATTTTGGCCTTCTCCAACAAGTATCTTATTATTCTATAGTGTTTGAAACGAATTGCAGCCGCGGAGAACCACCATTGAGGACTACGGAGTATTACTGATTACTTCCAAGGCAATGAGTTGCATCTGCGGACTCTGGGTAATGTTTGAGCGTGAGCATACGAAAAACGTGATCTGCTTGGACGAATGGAAATTGTATAGCATGTTACCTGCGTCCCAATAGTGAACAATCAAAAACCGATATACGTTTACGCCCACCCATAATGGCGTTTAACTGGGTTCAATGCCGATTTGTGCTCCCCAGACCAATCCCGCTCACAAGTGATCGATGATGGCAGCGTCAGGTAGAAAACTAGCTGAGAGAAACGCAGACCAAAGGCCTCTGTGGTGCAATGCGTAATGCGCGAATCCCCTGAAAGGAAAATCTTGGTTCGATCTGACCTGTGGTCCTAGTTATGCGAATTTTTCAGCATCATGTTAACTTCTTATTTGCTGCCTACTAGAATTTTTAAAGGCAGAGCACGATGCGAAAAACAACCACAATGATGCTGAGATATTCGCAAAACTCCGGACCACAGGTGTCTGCCGTGGGGAACGAACGCTCTATTTCCCCT